TTACATACTTGGCTGGACCTATATGTTTAGAATAATACATGGACTAATTCTGAAGAATTTCAGCCGCTAGTTGTAGTTGTAATGAACCCGGTGCGCTTCGCTACCCCTTTTGATTTTATATACATTCAACATTTTATTTACGTATATATTTTTTGCATAAAAAAATACAAATTTAAAAATTAAAAAAATATATATTGCACTACTTTAATGCGTTAATAAACAAAACCATTAGAAAAGCAGTAACATGACATGCATACATGAAGGGTTTGTCCTTTGGATTTATTTATTTTATAGCAAATACCAAGCGTGCGGGAAACTGCAATTTTTTAAGTTGAGTGGCATTTCTATTGCAATTAGTAAATTCGAGGTAGCAACATATTTCCACGTATTCGTATTTCAAATTAATTGTTGTGTTGTTTTTTAGTGTTAGCCTAAGGCGTTGTGGGTCAATGGTTCTCATTAAAATCATATCCCAATCTGATCCAATTTAAATATAATTTTGAAAAAATTACTTTTACACTAAATTCTGCCACAACTTTCATATTTCATTGAAATTGGTGCGTCAAATATGTGAAATCGGCCGAGAATATATATATGGGAGCTATATCCAAATTTTAACTAATTTCCAATTAATTTATCACATTTATTATTGTAACCAAATTCCGCCACACATTCTGAATTTCATTGGAATCTGCATATATATCGTGTTTGGTGCATAACATGTATGAAGTCAGCCGAAATATATATGTTAGCTATACCCAAACCTCAACCGATTTCAATATAATTTGGCCATTTTTTCTGGTGGCAGATTTCGTCTCTCTCGCTTTGGGTGCATCAAATATGTGAAATAGGTCAAGAATATATATGGGAGCTATATCCAAATCTGAACCGATTTTAATATAATTTGACTAATTTATTTTCTAATCAAAATCCCGTCACATATTCCAATTTTTTTTTGAAATCGAACATACATATGGTGTATGGTGCATAAAATACATGAAATGGGTTGAAGATATATATGGGAGCTATATCCAAACCTGAACCGATTTCAATATAATTTGACAAACGAATATACGTTTTAATTTCCACTACACATTCCAAATTTAATTGAAATTAGAGATACATAGCGTGTTTGGTGCATCCAAATCTGAACCGATTTCAATTTAATTTGACAAATTCATTTTGGCTCCCAATTTCGTTACTTATTTTAAATTTCATTAAAATTGGTCATACATATCGTGTTTGGTGCACCAAATACATGAAATCGGCCGAAAATGTATATGGGAGCTATATCCAAATCTGAACCGATTTCAATATAATTTGATAAATTTATTTTCGGATCAAATCCCGTTAAACATTCCAAATTTCATTGGGATGGAACATTCATATCGTGTTTGAGGCATCAAATGAACGAGATCGGTCGAAAATATATATGAAAGCTATATCCAAATCTGAACCGATTTCAATAAAATTTAGGAAATCAATTTTTTGGGTAAAATCCATGAAACGTTTCAAATTTCATTGAAATTTGGGATACATAGCGTGTTTGGTGCATCAAATGCTTGAAATCGGCCGAAAATATATATAGGAGCTATATCCAAATCTGAACCGATTTCAATATAATTTGACAAATTTATTTTTGTTTCAAATTCCGTTACGCATTCCAAATTTAGAGACTGTATCTGTAACCTATCAATTGATATGTGCATATAAAATCTAAATTTTTGGGAGGTACCTCCGATTCTGATGCTATATCTCCACATCCAAGTGGAATTTCAAAAATATACATAGCCTATGTTACTTTCAGGCAATGTTGCAGTATACATGCAAATTTACAGGAAAATCTGTTCAGCGGTTTTCGAGTCCATAAATTACAAACAAACATACAAATATTTTCCTCTTTTATAGATATAGATGACAAAAATGTCACATGGAACACTTGTGAATGAATCGACGTTGTGTCTATACTAACACACCTATAAATATAATGTACATTTGTCCAGAGTTCAAGAACAATACTATGGAAGAGCACACTTTCGGAAAAGCTAAATAGTTATTAACTCAAATTATTTTAAGCCGCTTAAAAATAGTATTTTTTTCGGAAACAAAACGCGACCTATCTAAGCTATACTCTCTGAGACTTAAGCATCGATAGTACACATTAAGTCTCTCAAATCCAGATTATTTTTTTCATATGCCTTGGAGAGCTAAAAGTAATTGATAAGGTGAACAAGTCAACAAAATCAAGTGATGAAAATTAGCGATTGCCGGAAACTCTACAACACTAAATGGGCAGAATATTGTAAATTGTTTTCACTGCAAATGTTTGTAATACACTGATGTATTGAAGCTGTAAAAACAAGTAAAAAAAAATTAAGTTCAATCGGGCCGAACTTTCAATACCCTCCACCATTATTTTTAAAATACAATAAAGTGGGTCAAACCATTATATGAGGGCCATACCAAAGAGGAAGCAATTTGCTACAATTTTCTAAATCCTAAGCACCGTGGAAATATATTATGTAAATATAGGACCAAAATACCGAATTTCGGTGAGTACCGGTATACGATACTCTTGGACCAATATAGGCAATAGCTTGACACCGATTAAGAAACCTATTATGAACTAGGGGATATAGCAAAACGTAAGCTTACATAGACAATGTTATAACAAAGCAGATAGAAAACATTACAAACTTTAAGTAGCGCACTTTAAACTATTCCACCCGAAAATGTGGTTAAATCCCCAATATCGAGAGGCATATAGGAGCTATTTGAAATGTCGGACCTATACGTACAATTATCTGTCATCCGAGGTAAAACCTATTACAAACTGTAGATATCAAATACAAAAAAGTTTCATTAAAAACTTTAACTAAAATGATTATAATACCGAATATATATATATATATATTCATGGTGAGATGAAAAAACTGCAACCAACTTAGGACTGCTGTCTTTTCTAAGCCACTCGTCCAACAGCTTTAAAAATTATTCCAGTGACAGCACATTACATTGTTTACAAGTTTAGGTGAGAATTTTCGAGAAAAAAAATATTCGTGATGGAATTCAAGCGTGATAGTTTGATTTCTTTATAATTGGCTGGAAAATCACATGTGGCTATCGTTAGAGCACTCCATCATTTAAATGTGAATAAATCTTTTGTGTCCCGTATCATCGTTCATTACAGTGATACTGGTAGCGTAGCCCGACGTCAAAGAAGTGGATGGAATGATTCAAAAAGTATAGAAGCGAGAATCTTCAGTAATTGCTTGTAGTACCCATTACTAACTCTAAATACGTAATTTGAAACTACTCTGGTAATTTGAAACTACTCAAAATACCGAATGTTGGGAGGTATCCGAAGAGTATCCATTTTAAACTTCAAATACCAAATTTGAAACAATTCCGGTGAATAATGTCGCTAAAACCATCAAAATACCGAATATCGGGATTTACCGTTATATGGGGGCTATATGAAAATGTGGACCTACATGACCCATTTATGAACTTAAATAAATATGTGTGCAAAATTTTAGCCTTCTATCTCAATTCGTTCGAAAGATAGCGTGATTATAACAGACTGACGAACAGACGCAAATCGCTAAATCGACTTAGAATTTTAGGCTGATCAAGAATATATATATACTTTGTTTTGTCTGACATGAGGATTTCGAGGAGATACAAACGGAAAGACCAAGTGAATATACCCTCCATAGTATGGTGGATAGTATAAAAAGTGCAAGAATATGCACTGCAACAGAAAGAATATAGACTCAAAAAAGCTTGGCCGAAAGTGGTGAACTGACGAATTTGGTTTTCTCCGATCAGAAAACACTCGTTGTCCAGCAGTTTGTAAACAAACAAAATTACTTGCCAAAGTGGTCAGCTGAAAATGTGCACCCTCGGTTGGCCACCAGAACTCAATCGCCATGGTGATGGTGTGGGCCGCCATAACAGCCGATTGTCGCTCTCCGCTCGTATTAATCGACCGTGGCATCAGAATAAATGCCGAATATTATCAAGAAAATATTCTGAAGGGTGTGTTAAAGTCTTGGGCACGCAAGCATTTTGGCCGCAGACCTTGGACATTCCAACAGGACTTAGCACTCGCTTCATTTTCAGTGCACAGTGGCCACCATAATCTCCGGATACCAATCCTTTGGATTATTTTGTCTGGAGTATTTTGAAATGCAAGGTTGGCACTAAAAATACGAAAGTGTCGATCACCTCAAGCAAGCGCTTCGCCGGGAATGGGCCAAAATACTGCAGAGCAATATTCGGGCAGCGTGTGACGGTTTCATTGGCCGTTTGAAAGCCATAATTCGTGCCAAAGGTGACCAATTCGAAAAAATCTAAATTTATTCTAAAATTTGATGCTATTTCCGCCATTTTTTGTTTTCATTCAATAGTATTTAAAAAAATGGCGTTTGACTTTGTTGCAGTTTTTTATCTCACCCTGTATAGGTTTTGAAATTTAGAACTAAGAGGTACCAATTACTGAAGAGTTAGAGTTATAATTCACAAATTTGGAATATAGATTTGTCTAAAGTTGGTAACATGTTTTTGTACAATTCTAGTCAAAAAGTTGGCCTTTTTATTAGGTACTACAAAGATGCCAGTAGTACTAAATGCGAGGGACTTCAGCAAGTATCCTATAACTCGACATAAGAGTACATGCTAACGTAAGGATTCGGAAAGTTAATCAAATTTTGCATAACCTGGAAAAATCATAGAACTCGTACTGGCAGGAAACAGAAACGCCTCACCTAGAGTTGAGTCGAAATTTCAGAAAATTATTAGAAAGTACAAAATGTTATAGCATTATTGCTGTGCGATCTGTAAGGGCAATAATTTTGAAACGTTGAACTGTGAGAACGTTGAAAATGAGATTGAAACAAGTGTTTTTTCTTCGATTTCTTTGTTTGCATTGAAATTGATACAGAGTCGTGAAATTAGAAAGATTAATTTAGGTATATCAGTAGCCATTCAACGCTGCAGTGAAACATACGAGACAAACGTAGAAAGAAACAAAAAAAAAACAATCTAAGAAAAATCGAAGAGAGGAACATATATAATAGAAATAGGATCGAAAAATAGAAGTTAATGCCAACATCAATAACAACAAAACAATCAATGAGAACAAAGTAAGATTCATACGAAACCCCTGTGCATATGCTTGTAGTTCTTAGAGATTTGTGGAGTTAAAAAATGTGTCAAATATATCAGTGAAAATGCCTGTCTACACCATTTCCAATTCAAAATTTTTCAAAATTCATAAAAAATAGATGTAAGAGTAAATTGTAAAATCCAACAAAACGGAGGCATTTGATGAAAACAAATATCATAAAAATTCTTATCTCTGGCGTTAATTGCAACTTATGGTCATAGCCAAATATTTCAAAACATTTGGAATTCCCAAATTTGCTGACATCACTTTTTTGTTCTCTTATCACTAGACATACATAACATTGTGCAACACAAAAATAATTACGAAGAGAAAATCTGGCAGATTATGAAAGTAAAGCTAAAATAGAAAGACGTGTATTGGCTTTTTGAAAGTTCACATCGAAAAATAGCCAAAATAGAGGTGGCGAGCTCCCCCCTCTTCCCCCTCGAACTAAGTTTGATTATAATATTACGATGTACCAAGTTTGTACCAAATCGGTACTCCCTTCGAGAGTTATCGTGCGCACCAGCTAGACAGACGGACGGACGGACATCGCTATATCGAATCCAACTGGGCTGAAACGGATTTGTTCCTTAGGTCTAACAACATTATTTCGATGAGACACATTTCGGTTGTATCAAAGGAGGGCATAAAAAATGTTTGAACCCAATTCCCAATACTAAACACATACATCACATCCATCGCACCACGGGTATTATCACAATTGGATTGAGAGAATATTACTCATTTTACTGATTTTCCCCAAAAAAATCTATGCCATTTGGTGCACAAGAAATGTGAAATCGGGTGAGATGAAAAAACTGCAACCAACTTCATACTGCTGTCATTTCTAAGCCACTCTTCCGACAGCTGTTAAAATTATTCCAGTGACAGCTCATTATATTGTTTACATACAAAAGCATTTTGGTGAGAATTTTCCAGATATAAAAATTATTCGTGATGGAATTCAAGCGTGGTAGTGTGATTTCTTTATATTTGGCTGGAAAACCACAGGTGGCTATCGTTAGAGCACTCCAGCATTTAAATGTGAATAAATCTTTTGTGTCTCGTACCATCGCTCGTTACCGTGCTACTGGTAGCGTAGCCCAACGTCAAGGAAATGAAGGGAAGAAAACAGAAATATCAGCAGAAATGGTTCGAAAATGAAGCAGCCACTTGATCAAACCCGCGTCGCAGTGACCGAAAAATGGCTCGTGAGATGAACATATCGCAGAATTCCATCGGCAAATATTGAAAAATGAGCTCGGAATAAAGCCATTGAAATTCCAAAAAGTGCAAGAACTTACACCGCAACAGAAATTGGTGAACTGCTGAATTTGGTTTACTCCGATGAGAAAACTTTCGTTGTCCAGTAACTTGTAAACAAACAAAATGATCGTGTTTACTTACCAAAGAAGTCAGCTGAAAATGTGCACATTCGGTTGGCCACCAGAACTCAAGCGCCGGCCATGGTGATGGTGTGGGCCGCCATAACAGCCGATGATCGCTCTCCGCTCGTATTAATCGACCGTGGTCGAATATTATCGTGAAAATATTCTGGAGGGTGTATTAAAGCCATGGGCATGCAAACATTTTGGCCTCAGACCTTGGACATTCCAACAGGACTTAGCACTCGCTTCATTTCCAGCGGACAGCGGCCACCATAATCTCCGGATACCAATCCGTTGGACTATTTTGTCTGGAGTATTTTGAAATGCAAGGTTGGCACTAAAAAGTACCAAAGTGTCGATCACCTCAAACAAGCGCTTCGCCGGGAATGGGCCAAAATACCGCAGAGCAACATTCGGGCAGCGTCTGACGGTTTCATTGACCGTTTGAAGGCCATAATTCGTGTCAAAGGTGACCAATTCGAACAAATGATGCTATTTCCGAAATTTGTTGCTCTCATTAAAAAAAAAATATTTCGTTTGACTTTGTTGCAATTTTTTTATCTCACCCTGTATAGAGATGTTATATATAATTGATACGGCCAAAACGTGCCTCACCGAAATGACGGTTTTAGACCCTAGGTTTATTTGGACCAAATCCCTTTCAAGACATTTGGAGTCGATCTAAGGACGGCCGTCCGTCTGTCTGGCTGACATGGTACATCGTAATATTGTTGTCCAACCTAGATCGAGTTCCGAGATGAGCAATATCGGTTCACTATTTCTGGTACCTCCGACACAAAAGGTCAACATTTTTACAGAAAATATGTTTAATAACCATGATAACCCCTTCTGTTACCTCCCCCACAAGGGGTTACAATTTTCAATACTTATATCCCTCATAACTTGCGAAACTAGTCAAAATTTTCCAAAAATTAACGCTTAGTCCGATATTTACAGGGTGAGATTAAACAAGTAAGCAAAGGCTACAGTCGAGCGGGGCCGACCGTTGAATACCCTACAACACTATAATAAACGATACAGTGTATATAGGCGAGATACTCGAAAGAATTCCACAAGATATTGTGACAAATAATAAAAGAAAACCATCAGGTTCCGTTCTCTAATTTTCGAATAATAGCAACTTAAACTAATTTGCTCATTTCCAATTTATTGGTAGATGTTGCACGCAAATGGTCTTCCTAGATCTGGAACCAATATTTCCCAAAGACCTATAATCTCTGAGAAGTGGCAAAAGATTAACATTTTATTGGTTTTTGACTGAAACGCATCTATATGAGATACAGACATTTGAGTATATTCTTCCACGAAATCAGCGTTAACGAAATAGTCAGAAGTGCGTCTTTCCTGTATTTGTGAATTCTCCAAAGAGTCACTGGAATGGACATTTTCGTATTTTGTCTACAAAAGTTGGCAAACTCCTTCACACATTGAATATTTTTGGATGCCCATCCAAAACTGCTTGGCTTTTGCAATGCCCGGTAACCCCCATTCAAATGTGCCAGAGAATCGGACAATAATTACGACCTGCTGACAATTTTGCAGTTTTTTTGGTCCATTTCAACCCCTAAATATATGGCGATCATCTCTAAAAAAAGTAGGCGTCTATTCTGACCCTCATCTGATCCCCATGCAAAATTTCGTAAGGATTGGGCCATAAATGCGATCTGTATATGACACCCTGATATCCTAACTACTTAGTTTTGTTAGCTATAGAAATATTACCAAATGTTTAATTCAAAATGAAAATATGCCAAAAATATGACAAAAATTGAAAAAATATGAGAAAATTTTAAAAAATCAATATTTTCATCTTTAGAGAGATATTTTTATGCGATTTTTTTAGACGTTTTTTCTTTCCTGCCAAGAGGCCATTCTGAATTAATGAGAACTGTCCAAATCAGTTCAGCCGTTCTCGACATATAAGAGATTTTTCAAGCATATCTTCTTTGATAAACATATATATAGCACATATATCTGATTTCTTGGATGTTAACATCAATGTAAAGATCAGAAGTAACCTTGTCATGGCTTTGTGATTTCGCCGGGATTTAAAATATTCGCGGTTTAATGAAAAATGTTGAATTTTTTCAACACAAAAGATATGCTCTATTTTACCCGCTAAATATTATCCGATGACCACCCAAATTGGTAGGCTTCTTCCCCGCCCTTAACTCTAGCTACATGCGAAATTCCGCGTCGATTGGTCTATAATTGCGACCTGTATTGCTACTGCAAAATCCGACATTTTTTCAGTATTTGGTCCATTTCAACCCCTAAACATTTGGCGATCATCTGCAAAAGAAATAGGGTTCTATTCTGACCCTAACCCCACCTTCGTGCAAAATTTTGTAAGGATCGGGCCATAATTGCGACCTGTAGAGTGGTTACAAATTAACATGGACAGACGGACAGACGGACGGACGGACATACATAGCTAGATCGACTCAGCTCGGCGAGCTAGGAAGATCCATATATACTTTCCTATGTGGGAAATCAATATTTCGAGGTGTTACATAATTTTTGGCTCAATCAATCTTATAATACCCCCAACACATAGTGTTGTAGGGTATAAAAACTGCATCAAAGTCAAACGCCGTAATTTTTTACATTTTTTTTTTTAATTTTATTGAATGAAAGCAAAAAATGTCGGAAATAGAATCAAATTTTAGAATAAGTTTAGATTGGTCACCTTTAGCATGAATTATGGCCTTCAAACGGCCATGAATCCGTCACACGCTGTCCAAATGTTGCGAAGCGCTTGCTTGAGGTGATCGACACTTTGGTATTTTTTAGTGCCAACCTTGCTTTCCAAAATACTCCGGATTGGTATCCGGAGATTTTGATAGCCATTGTGAGCTGGAAATGAAGCGAGGAACCTCATTTTGTAACCATTCTTGGGTGACGCGTGCTGAGTGCGATGGTGCTGAGTCCTGTTGGAATGTCCAAGGTCTGCGACCATAAAGTTTACGTTCCCATGACTTTAATACACCCTCCAGAATATTTTCGCTATAATATTCGGCATTTATTCTGATGCCACGTTCGATTAATACGAACGTAGAGCGACCATCGGCTGTTGTGGCGGCCCACACCATCACCATGGCTGGCGCTTGAGTTCTGGTGGCCATCCGAAGGTGCACATTTTCAGCGGACCTCTTTGGCAAGTAAACACGATCATTTTGTTTGGTTACAAACTGCTGGACAACGAATGTTTTCTCAGCGGAATAAACCAAATTCGGCAGTTCACCACTTTCGGCCAAGCGAAGCAACTCTTTAGCTCTTTTGAATTTATTATCTTTCTGTTGCGGTGTAAGTTCTTGCACTTTTTGGAATTTCAATGGCTTTACCCCGAGCTCATTTTTCAATATTTGCCGAATGGAATATTGCGATATGTTCAGCTCACGAGCCATTTTTCGGCCATTGCGACGAGGCTTTCGATCAAGTCGCTTCTTTGCTATTCGAACCATTTCTGCTGATGTTGCCGTTTTCTTCCGTTAACTTTCTTGACGTCAGGCTACGCTACCAGAATCACGGTAACGAGCGATGGTACGAGACACAAGAGATTTATTCAAATTTAAATGCTGGAGTGCTCTATCGGTAGCCACTTGTGGTTTTTCAGCCAAATATAAAGAAAAAGAACTATCACGCTGGGATTCCATCACGAATTTCTTTTTTTCTGGAAAATTCTTACCAAAATGCTTTTGTGCGCTTGTAAACAATATAATGAGCCGTCATTGGAATAATTTTAACAGCTGTCGGACGAGTGGATTAGAAATGACAGCAGTCTGAGTTTGGTAGCAGTTTTTTCATCTCACCCTGTATATCTTCTTCCGATCTGATCCGATCCGTGTAGTATTCATCCAAATAAAATGTATTTCGGCACACCCGACCCACTTCAGCCTTGAAGAAAGTACTTCAAATTAGGTGAAAATCAGTGCAGATATAACTATAGCTGCTCAAGTCCCTCACATTATTTTTACCACAATTCAAATTGGAAATGGTTTAATAATTACTTAACTTTTAAACCTTTATGTAAACCGTCTGCTCTTTTAGGGATATTCAAGACAACAACAATGGATAGGAATCTATTAGGTCCACTCATCTTTATGGGAATCTTAGTTTTGGGTCTAACGAAGCCAATGTCAACGTCAACTTCCACAGCTAACAAATTTGAAATCCTGCACGACAATAATGCAAACTCTATTAACGACGACCACAGAGACAAAGAGCATCGGCAACAGTATGCTGCAAATATGTTGACGTATATGATCCATTCCATAGATCCATGTGATGACTTTTACGAATATGCCTGTGGGAATTGGAAAAATACTATAGAGCCTCGTCAAGCGGAACACAAACGCAACAATCTGCATGATGTCAGCTACAAGTTGGATGATTTGGTTGAAGTTATGTTGGCATGGCCTCACATCGATAATATCGCTCCAGAATATTCAAGGGAGTTTAAAACCGCCCAACAATTCTACAATAATTGCGTACATAGCGAGATATACCCCATGAAAAAATCCACCGAGTATTTGAAGGTCATTAAAAACATTGGTGGCTTTCCAGCTGCCCAAAGTGAATGGAATGCCTCAGAATTCAGTTGGCTCAATATGAGTTCTCATATGAGCAATTACGGTTTAGGCAGTTTAATTAAAGAGGGTATTATGGATAAGTTTCCATTCGCCCCGTTTTTTCAAATACCCAAATTCGGTTTTGACATTGAACTACACTATGATAATATTAAGAATAGTTCATCGAATGCCTATAAAATAAATTGGCAGATCATGAATGACATATTGGCCGTGTATGGGGTGGAACTGGCAAAGAGACGGACATCTATTATCAGTGAAATATTTAAATTTCTACGGGCTGTCTTAGATGTTGTCGAGAAATTTGAGGAGGACGATTACAAATGTCGTATCTTATCGGACAAATTGGACGAAGATGTCGTCCATGCAGCCGATCAGCAATGGCTGACCCACTATGAAATATCCTGGATGGGAAAATCTGAATTGCAAGATGTAATTACAGCACCATGTCTTTATTTATATCATCATTTGGATAAGATCTGTTCGGAACATAAGGAAGCTGTGGCCAATTATCTGGCACTGAAATTCCTCTATCACATAGATGCCCGTTTAAAGGATGTAAAATTTCAGAAGGATTATTGCACGTCCCATGTAAGGCAAACAATGAGTTTTTTCTTTGATCACTTGTATATGAAGGTGAGTATGGAAGTGAACAGGGTGAGGTAAAAACTGCAAACAACTTCAGACCACTGTCATTTCTAAAGCACTCGTCCGACAGCTGTTAAAATTATTCCAGTGATAGTTCATTATATTGTTTACAAGCGTACAAAAGCATTTTGGTGAGAATTTTCCAGCAAAAAGAGTTATTCGTGATGGAATTCAAGCGTGATAGTGTGATTTCTTTATATTTGACTGGAAAACCACAAGTGGCTATCGTTAGAGCACTCCAGCATTTAAATGTGAATAAATATTTTGTGTCTCGGCAAACGTCAAGGAAGTGGACGGAAGAAAACAGCAACATCAGCAGAAATGGTTCGAAAAGTAAGGAAGCGACTTGATCGAAACCCGCGTCGCAATGGACGAAAAATGACTCGTGAGCTGAACATATCGCAATATTCCATTCGGCAAATATTGAAAAATGAGCTCGGGGTAAAGCCACTGAAATTCCAAAAAGTGCAAGAACTTACACCACAACAAAAAGAAAATAGACTCAAAAGAGCTAAAGAGTTGCTTCGCTTGGCCGAAAGTGGTGAACTGCCGCATTTTGTTTTCTCCGATGAGAAAACCCCCGTCGCAGTGGCCGAAAAATGGCTCGTAAGCTGAACATAACGCAATATTCCATTCGGCAAATATTGAAAAATGAGCTCGGGGTAAAGCCATTGAAATTCCAAAAAGTACAAGAACTTACACCGCAACAGAAATAAATAGACTAAAAAGAGCTGAAGAGTTGCTTCGCTTGCCCGAAAGTGGTGAACTGCCGAATTTGGTTTTATCCGGTGAGAAAACATTCGTTTTCCAACAGTTTGTAAACAAACAAAATTATCGTGTTTACTTGCCAAAGAGGTCCGCTGAAAATGTGCACCTTCGGTTGGCCACCAGAACTCAAGCGCCGGTCATGGTGATGGTGTGGGCCGCCATAACAGCCGATGGTCGATCTCCGCTCGTATTAATCGACGGTGGCATCAGAGGGTATATTAAAGCCTTGGGCACGCAAATATTTTGGCCGCAGACCTTGGACATTCCAACAGGACTCCGCACCATCGCACGCAGCACGCGTCACCAAAGAATGGTAACAAAATGAGGTTCCTCGCTTTATTTCCAGCGCATAATGGCCACTAAAATTTCCGGATACCAGACAAATGGACTATTGTGTCCAGAGTATTTTGGAAAGCAAGGTTGGCACAAAAATACCAAAATGCAACATTCGGATAGCATGTGACGGTTTCATTGGCCGTTTGAAGGCCATAATTCGTGCCAAAGGTGACCAATTCGAACAAATCTAAACTTATTCTAAAATTTGATGATATTTCCGACATTTTTTACTTTCATTCAATAAAATTTAAAAAAAATTTTGTTGTTGCAAAATCGTCAGGCAAAATCCCATTATTGTTGTTTTTATAAAAACAACATTTTGTTTATGAGTGGAGAACGATGGTAATGTTTACCAGGGGGTAAGGCAGGGAATACCTAGGTTTCGGAAAGAGCCACCAATCCTCATCAGTTCCCTTGTTTCTTGTCTGTGTTTGGGATACCATAGTATTTTGTTGTTGCAAAATCGTCAGGCAAAATCCCATTATTGTTGTTTTTATAAAAACAACATTTTGTTTATGAGTGGAGAACGATGGTAATGTTTACCAGGGGGTAAGGCAGGGAACGATGGTAATGTTTACCAGGGGGTAAGGCAGACAAGAAACAAGGGAACTGATGAGGATTGGTGGCTCTTTCCGAAACCTAGGTATTCCCTGCCTTACCCCCTGGTAAACATTACCATCGTTCTCCACTCATAAACAAAATGTTGTTTTTATAAAAACAACAATAATGGGATTTTGCCTGACGATTTTGCAACAACAAAATACTATGGTATCCCAAACAAGCAAGCCAAACACTGTTCTATTAATAGACACAGGCACGGTCGACGAAGGGGTTTTTGTTGTAACAGACAAAACGAACTTACATGGTTATGTTACTTCGTTCAGGTTGAACGAAAGCATAACAAAGTGGAGAAAGATGTAAATGTTTATAAGTGCGGTTGTAAGATTTAGAAGATTTTCCAAAAGAATTTTAGTTTTATATAATTCTTTTGTTCCTCTTCTATTGAGCTTACGATCTCGTCACTTGGGTAAAAAATGTTTTTTGTCATAGAAGTTATTTTTAAAATAACTTCTGGGGAGAATATCCCAGACAAGAAACAAGGGAACTGATGAGGATTGGTGGCTCTTTCCGAAACCTAGGTATTCCCTGCCTTACCCCCTGGTAAACATTACCATCGTTCTCCACTCATAAACAAAATGTTGTTTTTATAAAAACAACAATAATGGGATTTTGCCTGACGATTTTGCAACAACAAAATACTATGGTATCCCAAACAAGCAAGCCAAACACTGTTCTATTTAAAAAAAATATATAAAAATTATGGCTTTTAACTTTGTTGCAGTTTTTATCTCAACCTGTATATCAATCCAACAATTAAAATACAGAATAACATTTACTCTCCATATATATATTTTAATATCTTTTAGACATTCTTCAACCATGATCTACGAAGTGATATTGAGAAAATTATCAAAGATGTTCGACAAAGTTTACAGAGCATACTGGCGGAAGCCGATTGGTTAGATGAGGCTACAAGAGAAGCAGCTCTGCGAAAAGAAGCAGCTATCGCAGAATACATTGGACGTTTTGAAGATACAAACATGACCAAACTTCTTCTGGCTGAATTGAAAAATCTTAAATATGAAGAAGACAATTACGATCTTAACAATTTGAATATGCACAAATTTGACCAATCAATGAAACGTTATAATGGATTGCACTATGAAGAACTCGATATTGATACCAAATGTTTGGATATGCTTCTGGGCATGCAGGTGAATTCCTTCTATTATGTGATCGATAATGCCATCTATGTTATGGCTGGTGTTCTGCATCCACCTGCTTTCCATAAGACATGGCCCATTGCCTTGAAATATGGCACTCTAGGATATCTGGTGGGCCATGAATTTACTCATGGCTTCGATACACTTGGTTCCAACTATGATGCTAATGGCAACAATAATAATTGGTGGACCAGCAAATCGGGAAAGGTGTTTGAGGAACGTTCCCAATGTTATGTTGAAAATTATCAGAATTATTCAATACCGGAAATCAACCGCAAAATCAATGGTAATTTAACAAAAGATGAAAATATTGCCGATGCCGGTGGCCTAAGAATGGCTTTTATGGCCTATCGTCGTTACTTAAAGGAGACCAAGAAGGAAGGAGACAAAGAGGAACGAATGCCCGGCCTAGATTTATCGCCGGAACAGCTGTTCTTCTTGGGATCGGCCCAACTTTGGTGTTCGTCTTACAAAGAAGCCGTCTGTCCGTCCGTCCATGTATTCTTTTGAACAAAATACAGGTCGCATTTATCATTCGATTGAGATGAAATTTTGCAAACAATATTTATTTGGCCCAAGGTGATAATCGGATCAGATTTATATATAGCTCCCATATATCTTCAACCTATTTCGGGCTAATATAAGAATAACCTGTATTTTGGTACATCCCACCGAATTTTTACCAAAGAATTAAATAAAACTAAAATGCTTTTGGAAAGTCTTCTAAATCTTACAACCGCACTTATAAACATTTACATCTTTCTCCACTTGTTATGCTTTCGTTCAACCTGAACGAAGTAGCATAACCATGTAAGTCGGTTTTGTCTGTTACAACAAAAACCCCTTCGTCGACCGTGCCTTGTCTATTAATAGAACAGTGTTGGCTTGTTTGTTCGGGATACCGTAGTATTTTGTTTCTGCAAAATGGCCAGGCTTTATCCCTTTATTGTTGTTTTTATAAAACCGAAACCTAGGTATTCCCTGACTTATCCCCTGGTAAACATTACAATCGTATTCCACTAATAAACAAACGTTGTTTTTATAAAAACAACAATAAAGGGATAAAGCCTGGCCATCTCATATATATATTTATCCGATATAAGGTTTATTGTGCACCAAATGGCTAATATTAGCCCAAATGGACTGCATTTTGGCAACTAAGACAGAATTCATCCTTTAAGCCATGGTACAATGATATCAAGGTAGGGCTATGATACCATATTATTTTAATTTTTTTATTTTCTTGGCTTAATATGTCATATTTATTTGTTATGTATGTGTTTTCTTTTCAATAACAAAAAAATTGTTCAGAAAACGTTCAAATTCGGGTGTTTTCAAAATGTTTATTTCAACGTATGCATCGACAAAATCTAGAGTTTTTGTAGCGAAGTAATCCTTTAGAGATATATAGTACATGATTTTGAAAAGAAGTGTTGACCTTTCATTCAGTTATCACGGTTTTCAATTATTTATTCAAAATAAATGCAACAAGTTGTTTGATTTTTTATTTTTTGATACTAATTCTGACATTACAAGCCAAACAGGTAGACCTCTATACTTGCATTTTTTTCAAAGTTGGCCTACCTTCTCTTCATTGTACCATGCTTTAAACCAGTTTTTAAAATTTGGTGTAAATCGGTTCATATATAGCTATAGCTCCCATATATGTGTTTCATCCGATTTGGGGTTTAAGTCCCTCAAATTCGTAATATGAATTCGACAACAATAATATTTGATACCAGATATCTTGTAGAATTCGGAAATTCCTCTGCTAAATTTTATTAAAATGGGTTCAGATTTGGATATAGATCCCATATATATATTCAACCAATTTCGGGTTAATTGTGCACCAAATGGCCAATATCTGTCCAAAAGTACTGAATTTTGGTACATCCGAACGAATTCAGCCTAGAAGCAAGTACATCGAATTCGGTTCAGATATAGCTATAGCTTCTATATATATTTTTTTATTTAAGTCCCTCACATTCATAATATGCATTCGACACCAATGATATTTGGTACCAGATGTCTTTTAAATCTCGGAAATACATTTGCCAAATTTTATCGAGAACAGCTAAGATTTGGATATAGCTCCCATATATATCCTTAATCCGATTTCAGGTTTATTGGGCAAATAATGGCTTCTGTGAGCCCAAATGGAGTGAAATTCAGGGGTCTACGTTTCCATTTTATGCAACTCAGCTCCGATATATACCTTTATTCCCTACAGCACTATATGTTGGGGGTATTATGAGTTTGATTGGGCCAAAAATTATGTAACACTTGGAATATTGGTTTAACACATAGGAAAGTATATATGGATCTTCCTATCTCGCTGAGCTGAGTCGATCTAGCTATGTATGTCCGTCCGTCTTTCCACGTTAGTTTGTAATCACTCTACAGGTCGCAATTCTGGTTCGATCTTCACGACAGAGATGATCGCATAATATTTAGGGGTTGAAATGGACCAAAAACTGAAAAATTTCCTGATTTTGCAGTTGCTCTACAGGTCGCAATTATAGATTAATCGACGCGGAAGTTAGCATGGGGCTAGAGCTTAGGGGTGGGCAGAAGCCTTCCAATTTTGATATTCACCGGGTAATATTTAGTGGGTTAAATAGACCATAACATTTGTGTTAAATAGAAGTCAAATTTTCCATTTAACCGCGAATATTTTTAATCCCGGCGAATTCCCAAATAGATGAACAGGTCAAATCTGACCGTTACGTTGATGCCGAATGTAAATATATCGAATGTATATAGCGAAATATATACAATGTATATATACAAAGAAAGGGGATGTTAGTTAGAATGCGAATATCTTAAGAATGGCTGGACCGATTTTGACAAATTTTGTCAATTCAGAATGTCCTCTTGGCATAAAAGTATAAATCTAAAATAAATCGCATAAAAAGATGTCAATAATGATGTTAATATAGATTTTGTAGTATTTTGTGACTTTTTTCAAATTTTTTATCGCATACGATTTTTTCAAATTGACTTATAATATTGAAGTGTACATTTTGTAATATTTCTTCGCCTTACAACACAGCTTAGGGTTATTATATACAGATTGTAATTATCGTCCGATTCTCACGAAAATTTTAACAATGGTAGGGTTAGGCTCAGGAGTGCTAGGTCCACTGTTTACAAAGATGTCCGCAGTATATTTAGGGGTTGAAATGGACCAACAATTAAAAATGTTCCTGATTTTGCAGCCGTTACAAAGGTCACAGTAACCAAAGGACAGGAAATCTCGCATGATGTAAGTGTTTAGAACAGCGGGTAGAATGGACCACTACTTTTGTGTGAAAAAATACCAACAGTACTCACAGGTTATATCCGAAATACACAAAAGGCGAACTTCTGGCTTTTCCATGCTGATTGGTTGACGAATATAGCCAAATATCATAGACAAGCACCGAGGGGCCTCTTGCTTTTGGAAATGATCGCAAAATATTTAGGGTTCAAATGTACCAAAAACACAATTGCAGCCAATCGACACGCCTGAGAAGAAAGTTAAGTACAGGTCCTTGGTCAAAATGCTAAGGGTAATATCTGGGCAGTGCTCCGTGACGAAATCTTCCAAAATGGATTTGGACCTAAGAATCACATGGTCGGATCCGCACGACTATATCCTTTGCTTAATTGTTTTAAAATAATTCTTCTGCAAGTGATATGATGCACTCTATAACTGTTCGAAAGCCAAATGTTGATAGGTGATACAGTGTTGTCCACATTCGACGGACCCATCTGGCAACGCCATAACTTTTGACAGAGATGTCACATCGCTTAATGACATACCGCGTTTGAAGCGTCAGTCCAAGCAGATTTTTACCATGAACCAATACACGCCACGCGAAATAGTTGAAATTTACATTCAACAGAAGAAGTCAATTGTGAAAACTCAACGTGCTCTTAAAACATTAAAAAATGTGAGAAGTGCGCCTTTTAAGAACACCATTAAGCGTTTATACGAAAAAATTTCGACTGGTAAGGCTCTTTCTAATCCGAAGAGGCCATATAAAAGTCGAACAAGGCGATCGGCCGAGAATGTCGCTGCCGTACGAGCCAGTGTTGAGAGGTGCCCAAGAACATTCCAAAAACGCCGTTCTCAGCAGTTGGGCATGGCTCGGTCCACTTTACAACGGATTATTTGTATTGATTTGCATTTGTTCCGGTACAAAATTTAAGTGACGCAAAGAATGTTGCCTGCGGACAAGCCTCGTCGATTGGAATGGGCCCAAAAGGCCCAAAGGTCCGTCGAATATGGGCAACTCTGCATACATTTTAGACCCCACAAAGTATATATATTCTTGATCAGCAAAAAATTCTGTGTCGATTTAGCGATATCCGTCCGTCTGTGGATATCACTCAAGCTTCCGAAGGAAATGAAGTAGGTTGGTAAAATTTTTTCAATTTTCGCATTTGAATATTGTAATGGCTTATGACAAAAGTTGCCTATGCAGGTCTACGTCATCGTATAGACCCTAATATAACGGATACAATCGGTATTTTTAAGATTTTAACAGAATTTTTAACTGATTTTATTATTTTTTTCTTAAATTGCCAAATTCGTTCCATGTGGTGTAGGGTATTCAAAGTTCGGCCCGGCCGAACTTACCGCTTTTGTACTTGTTCTATATATATATTTTTCCATCCACTGTCTTATGTAGAGTGCAATGTAAATATTTTTGTTTTGTTTTACAAATAAACAAAAATAACGACGATCTGAGCACATGATATGTTTGAGTTGGAGGTAATGTTCTACTGGAAAAAAAAGAGATTAGAATAATTGTTTGTTTTTTTTTTTTTGTATTGAAATTGATACAGATTCGTGAAATTAGAAGAGATTCTCTTAGGCATATCAGTAGCCATTCAACGCTGTAGCGAAACGCACGAGACAAACGTGGAAACAAACAAAAAAATCGAAAAAGAAAAATCCAAGTGAAGAAATCAAAGTTCAGTCTCCGTGTAATCGAAGTTGAATTGAAAAACTCAAATTAACGCGAACAACAATAGCAACAAACCAATCAATGAGAACAAAGTAAGATTTAAACTGGAACAGAATCTCTGTGTACAAATTTATAGTTCCAAGAGATTTATGGATAAAAACATTGTGTCAAATAAATCAGTGAAAATGACTGTCTACACCATTTCCAATTGAAGTTTTTCAAAATACCAAAAAAAAAATAGATCTGTTCATAAATTTCCGATTACCATGAATGGAGGCATAACTGGATTAATTTATGAAAAAAGCACAAATCATAAAAATTCTTATCTCTGGCGCTAATTGCAACTTATGACCATAGCCAAATATTTTAAAACATTTGGGATCCCCAAATTTGCTGACATCACTTATTTTGTTGTCTTATCACTAGACGTACATAATTATTTCTAAAATTTAAAAGATGAATGGGGTCCATTCACAAAACCTTTGTGGCGCGATTATTTTTATCAAATATTTAAATGATAAGAAGAAGTATGTCCCATATTGGATCTTAAGCAGTAATTTAAACAACTTATAAAACATTCAATGGTGACATTTTTAGATAAATCAAGCACAGAGGTAAATAAATATATTTTTGCCTATCAGACTTGAAGGCTGATAATGTTTTAAGAACAAATTTACCCGAAGAATTGTTTAAAAGATGGAAAGTGCCATGCTCATACCTATAAAATAAGGTAAATGAAAATACTAATGAACACATATTAGAAATGTGGACTTACAAACTGATCATCAACGAGGTTGAAATAGGTGGATGCTTTCAGATAGAAATATTGATAAAACTTTATAAACTTATTTGATATATTGATTTTTCCTGCATATGATGCAGAATTGGAAATTTTTTTAAATTACTATAATTCCGTTTGTAACACATCGAAATTATCATTTAGGACGAATAATTCCATGTTAAAAATACCCGCCTATTCATCTGTGAAGGGCTTGATGATAAAAATATTCGTCTTAGGTATTTTACTACCTATTTTTTTCTTGGGAACATCAGCCCACGTTTTCATGAAGTCCGAACTGACAGGTAACACCAAATATTCGGTATTTTGATGATTTAAGTCAAATGAGAGCTGATTATAGGTACCACCTCCTATGACAGAACATAGACTAAACATTTGCAACATTTAGGTATAACTCCTCTACCATTGAAACCTGTGCAATATTCGTTCAAATAGAAGCAAGTACTTCAACTTTGCTGAAAATGGTTTAAGATATGGCTACGGCTTCCATATATTTCATCCGATTTCGTGCTTAAGTTCCTCACATTCGTAATACAATATTTGGTACCATATATTAGATACAGTCCAGAAATACCTCTGCCAAATTTAATCAAGATAGATTCAGATTTGAATATAGCTTCCAAATATACCTTCATTCGATTTCGCAGTTATTGTGAAACAACTATGTAATATCAGGACAAATTGAATGGATTTTTATACACCTAAGCGAATGTTCCCGTGATTTGGTATGAGAAGTACAAATGTCAAATTTAGTGGAAATCGAGTAAATGTCTTATATACCTCCCATATATGGTGAGAAGCAGCAGAAATGGTTCGAAAAGTAAAGAAGCGACTTAATAGGAACCCGCGTCGCAGTGGCCGAAAAATGGCTCATGACCTGAACATATCGCAATATTTCATTCGACAAATATTGAAAAATGAGCTCAGGGTAAAGCCATTGAAATTCCAAAAAGTGCAATAACTTACATCGCAACAGAAAGATAATAGACTCAAAAGAGCTAAAGAGTTCCTTCGCTTGGCCGAAAATGGTGAACTGCCGAATTTGGTTTTCTCCGATGAGAAAACGTTCGTTGTCCAGCAGTTTGTAAACAAACAAAATGGTCGTATTTACTTGCCAAGAGGTCAACTGAAAATGTGCACCTTCAGTAGGCCACCAGAACTCAATCGCCGGTCATGCTGATGGTGTGGCCGCCATGACCGAGCCGATGGTCGCTCTCCGCTCGTATTAATCGACCGTGGCATCAATATAAATGCCGAATATTATCGCGAAAATAATCTGGAAGGTGTGTTAAAGCCTTGGGCACGCAAATATTCTGGCCGCAGACCTTGGACATTCCAACAGGACTCAGCACCATCGCACTCAGCACCCACCACCCAAGAATGGTTATACAATGAGGTTCCTCTCTTCATTGGCCACCAAAATCTGCGGATACCAATCCCTTGGACTATTGTATCTGGAGAATTTCGGAAAGCAAGGTTGGCACTAAATAATACCAAAGTGTCGATCACCTCAAGCAATCGCTTTGCCGGGAATGGACCAAAATATCGCAGCGTGTGACGGTTTCATTGGCCGTTTGAAGGCCATAATTTGTGCCAAAGGTGACCAATTCGAACAAATCTAAAGTTATTCTAAAATTTGATGCTATTTCCTATATTTTTGCTTTCATTCAAAAAAATTTAAAAAAAAGTGTAAAAATGATGGCGTTTGACTTTGATGCAGTTTTTTATCTCACCCTGTAATTTGACAAAATGTACTTTTAAATTCCGTAAGACCTTTCATATTTCTTTGTAATTGGAGGTACGTACCGTGTTTTGTGCATCAAATATGTGAAATCAAAATCTTAACCGATCTCTAATTAATTTTTCAAATATAATATTGTAACCAAATTCCACCACATATTCTGAATTTCATTGGAATCGGACATACATATCGTGTTTGGTGCATCAAATAAACGAAATCGGTCGAAAATATATATGGGAGTTATATCCAAATCTGAACCGATTTGTATGTAATTTGGCAAATTTATTTTCTGATCAAATCCCATCACTCATTCCAAATTTCATTAAAATAGAACATACAGTCGAAAATATATATGGGAGCTATATCGAAATCTGAACCGATTTCAAAGTAATTTGGCAAATAATTTTTTTACACAAAATACGGCGTATATAGATGTTCGGCGTACACAGCCTGTTTAACGCATCAAATACATGAAATCGGCCGAATATATATATGGGAGCTATATCTAAATCTGAACAGATTTCAATATTACTTAGCAACTTTATTTTTGTTCCAAACTCCGTTACGCATTCCAAAATTGGAGACTGCATCTGCAGTCGATCAATAGATATGTGCATATCAAAATACAACAAAGTGAATGAGAATTATGCCTAGTGTCAGTGCCCAACAAAATGACTGCTAGTATTAATGACGTATGTACAAGTGTGCACCAACTGTTGTTGTGTGTCATGCGATGATATAGTGAGGCCTTTTGTTGTTATTGTGCACTGTCGCATTCTGAATATATTTCTGTTAACCAATCTATTTTGGAAAATTTTAACAAATTTGGTGGAAGTTGTAAATTTATGTCCAGTTTCCTGAAAAAATATATATATTTATTTTAACGACTTTTCTAAAATGTTGACCCGGTCAGTATAATTTCAATCATTCTTTTACATTCAACCTAATTGGAAATGGTGTAACAGTCACAATTACTTTATTTTTCCGTTATTGACTTATTTCAAAAACTCAAAGTAAACCGCCTGCTCTTTTAGGGGTATTTCAACACAACAACAACAGCAATGAATAGAAAATTATTAGGTCCACTCATCTTTATGGGAATCTTGGTTGTCTGTCTGACAAAGCCAATGTCGACGTCGACGTCAGCCCCGCCAACCTTATTCTCCCTCTACGATTCAAACGAAAGTGAAATCTTGCACGACAACAATGACAATGATGTCGCAAACTCTATAAACGACGACGATAGAGACAAAGATTATCGCCAACAATACGCTGCAAAAATGTTGACATATATGAACCATTCCATAGATCCGTGTGATGACTTCTACGAATATGCCTGTGGAAATTGGAAAAATACGATACCGCCACGTCAAGCAGAACACAAACGCAACAGTCTACTCGATGTCAACTTCAAGTTGGATGATTTGGTTGAAGTGATGTTGTCATGGCCTCACGTTGATGATATCGCTCCCGAATATTCAAGGGAGTTCAAGACCGCCCAACAGCTATATAATAATTGTATGCAAAGTGATATATATCCCATGAAAAAATCTCCCGAATATTTAAAAGTCATTGCAGACATCGGTGGCTTTCCAGCCGTCCAAAGTGAATGGAATGCCTCAGAATTCAGTTGGCTCAATATGAGTTCGCATATGAGCAATTACGGTCTCAGCAGTTTAATTAAAGAGGGCATTATACCGCAGTATCCATTCGCGCCGTACTTTCAAATACCCGAATTTGGTTTTGACATTGAACTTCACTATGATAACATTAAGAATAGTTCATCGAATGCCTATAAAGTAAATTGGCAGAGCATGAATGACATATTGAGCGTGTATGGGGTGGAACCGGCAGAGAGGCGGGAATCTATTATCAGCGAAATATTTGAATTTTTACAGGCTGCCTTAAATATTGTCGAACAATTTGAAGAGCATGATTACAAATGCCGTGCCTTATCGGAAGAATTGGACGAAGATGTCGTCAATGTGGTCGATCAGCAATGGTTGGCTTACCATGAAATTGCCTGGATGGGAAAATCTGAATTAAGAGATGATGATGAAAAACCATGTGTATATTTATATTATCATTTGGATAAAGTCTGTTCGGAGCGTAAAGAAGCTGTGGCCAATTATCTGGCACTGAAATTCCTCTATCACGTAGATTCTCGTTTAAAGGATGTTGAATTTCAGAAGGATTTTTGCACATCGCATGTGAAGCGAACGATGAGCTTTTTCTTTGATCACTTGTATATGAAGGTGAGTATGAACGTGTTCTTGTATGTCGGTATGTGTGGTTTTCAAATTGTATTATAAAATCCAGTGATATTCGCATAAGATAATCGATATTTTGTAGCAATTGTTACAATATTTTTCCGGGGGTTGCTTTTTGGGGACGCTGAAAGTTTACTAAAAGCCAGTTTCCACATCGTGTTAGAGTCATATGTAAAGTAATTTTTTTTTTTCACATTTTATTATTAACGTTATTATAGCAGGCTTTTAGGCGTGACCAACAATGCTATATAGTACACATGTATTATATTTATATTACACTTATAACATGAAAATATTAATATATACTATACTATAACGCGTTTTCATTCAGATGAAAAATTGTTTGAAACGCCTAAAAGTATGTTATAAAAATGATTAACATAAATAAGAAAATGTAGCTTTACATTTGACTTTAACATAATGTGTATACTAGCCTTAAGTAAACCTTACTATTGCTCTGTTCCAGAACATTTTTCGATATCATAAACACCAATAGTCCCATATACCAATTTTATCTATTTTAGGCATTTTTGGAAGGTCTTGAGGGTTTTAGACATATTTTCCAAAGGAATAGATGAAATTGAACTCATAGACAAGGATGTTAAATCTGTTCCACTTCATCTTACACTGAAAAACATATTGGGATGAGAAAAATTTAAAGAAAATTTAACATTTATTTCCAAGTTTATGCAAATAATTGTTAATAAAATGTAAACCTTTTGTGGGGAAGGTACCAGAAGGAGTAAGCCGATGAATGCTATATTCCTATCAGATCTCAGGGTACCAAGTTTTAAGAGAATCGCTGATTTGTTTCGCAAATTATGAGAGGAGAAGGTACTAGAAGGGGTAGGCCGATATCTATCATCTTCACACCAGATCTTGCGTTTGTAAAAATATTGGGATGTGTGCAATTTGAAAAGAGTCGGATACTAATTTCGCATTTTATGAGAGATGTAATTATTCAAAATTATGACCTGTTGTGGGGGAGGGACCAGAAGGATTGAACCGATGTATCCCATCTTCACATAGGATGTTTTGTTAATGAAAATATTGGGATGTGTGAAACTTAAAGAGATTCGGGTGCTAATTTCGCGTTTTAAGAGCTTTATACTTATTAAAAATGTTGACCCCATTGTGGGGGAGGTACTAGAAATATTGGACCTTCACACAATAGCTTGTTATTTTTTTAAGAGCCTTGAAGACGTGCATTTTTTAAAGAATATTTTTGAAGAGCCTTGAAGACGTGCATTTTTTAAAGAATATTTTTGAAGAGCCTTGAAGACGTGGATTTTTTAAAGGATATTTTTTGAAGAGCCTTGAAGACGTGCATTTTTTAAAGAATATTTTTTGAAGAACCTTGAAAACGTGGGTTTTTAAAGAATATTATTTGAAGAGCCTTGAAGACGTGGATTTTTAAAGAATATTTTTTGAAGAGCATTGAAGACATGAGCTTTTGAAGAATACTTTTTGAAGAGCCTTGAAGACATGGATTTTTTAAGAAATATTTTTTTGAAGAGCCTTGAGGACGTGGATTTTTTAAAGAATATTTTTGAAGAGCATTGTAGACGGGCATTTTTTAAAGAATATGTTTTGAAAAGCCTTGAAGACGTGGATTTTTTAAAGAGTTTTGTTAGAAGAGCATTGAAGACGGGCATTTTTTAAAGAATATTTTTTGAAAAGCCTTGAAGACGTGGATTTTTTAAAGAGTATTTTTTGAGGAGCATTGAAGACGGGCATTTTTTAAAGAATATTTTGTGAAAAGCCTTGAAGACGTGGATTTTTTAAAGAGTATTTTTTGAAGACCCTGGAAGACTTGGATCTTTTATATTTTTTGAAAAGCCTTGAAGACGTGGATCTTTTAAAGAATATTTTTTGAAGAGCCTTGAAGACGTGGATCTTTTAAAGAATATTTTTTGAAGAGCCTTGATGACGTGGATTTTTTAAAGAATATTTTTTGAAGAGCCTTGAAGACGTGGATCTTTTAAAGAATATTTTTTGAAGAGCCTTGAAGACGTGGATCTTTTAAAGAATATTTTTTGAAGAGCCTTGAAGACGTAAATGTTTTGAAGAATAATTTTTTATAGATATGTCTGAAACAAAAGGATGTTTAGAACCTTTCTCATTCACTATTGAAATTAGTTTAATTTTTTTTTTTTTTTTTTTGGGAGAGCAAAAATATACAGGGAGGAACGCTATATGCATAAAAATATCCGACAGCACCTTCCTCATCGACTTCTTGAATAAAACTAAATATTCTTTAAAAACCATTTTGACAGAAAGTTCAAAACAATTTATTTTTTACAATTGTGTTGGTTGTTGGTTGTTGCTACCCCTATTCTATACGGAAAATTATTTTCTGTTAAAATTTTGACCTCTTGTGGGGGAGGTACGTGAAGGACTGGACCTATATTACCTATTTCTGAAATCGATCTAAGTCTGACGAACATCTGAAACGCATTTCGTCCAAAGGGACATAGAGTCTAAAACCGTTATTTGGATGAGGCACATTTTGGCCGAGGGTAAAATCATGCCAATTCCGAAAATTGGGACAAACCGTTATTTGGGGGCTATACGAAGACGTGCATTTGTATAGGCAATTTTCTGTCATATGAGGAAGTACCCATTACAAACGTCAAATTCCAAATTTAAAATAATTCCGGTGAAATGTGTGACACAAATCATCAGAATACTAGAGGGAGTTATTTGGGGCCTATACGAAAACGTGGACGTCTATAGCCAATTCTTTGCCTATTACGACCTATTAATAACAAGTTTTAGGTAATTATGTTGGAAAAAAATTAGAAAAATCCTTAAAATACCGAATATCTGAAGGTACAGCCATATGGGCACTATACCAAAACTTGGACCTACATAGGCAGTTCAAGAATCTTGCCTACATGCGAGAATCATAAACTGCCAATTTGCAGCAAATCTGGGCAAATTTGTGACTAAAACAACCAAAATACCTTAAATATGCGGGTACAGTCATATGGAGCTATACCAAAACGTGGACCTACTTGGTCCACTTTCAATACCAAAAGTCCTACAGACATAAGATACATCCGTTAAGTTAGGTGGAAAATGTGGCAAAACTCCCTAAAAAAACTTCTAATTGTCAGCAAAAATTTAAATATACTTTCGATCGCCGAACGAAAACAAACGAAACGAATATCGAACTGCTCACACGAAATCACAAACTTTATAATTTTTTTCAATTATTTTGTACTCCAAACAAAACAAAACCACAAACATTTCAATGCCAGAAATACACAAACAATACGATTGCTTTAATGTACTCCGGATGTGAGTTGCCAAGCTGCATCGTTTGCGACCGAATCGCCGGGAAACGTTTACAAACGTTTGCTGTGCGAAATGATGGCTGCTACTCATTATTTTAAGTATTGTTTTGCACATTTTCCATTGTATTATGGACATAATAAATAAATAAAAAGGCATGAATATAAGTTAATATTAGTTTTTAAATTATTTGTAATGAGTTAATATACAGGGAAACGTTTGCAAACGTTTCCGATGAGTTTTGAACTGTTTCGTTTCCAGTGTTACAACATCCAGACGAGTAAATTTCAGTTTTGTTTTTGGTTGCACTCATCTACACAAACAGTACAACAACAACAAAACATGTCCCGTTATCTTAATATCGGTTTTGTTAAGGTTCGTACTTTGAGAAAATACAGAACGAAACGATTGCAAACGTTTGATATAGTTTATTTTCGAACGCTGGTGTTTTTGCTAGCTTTTCTTTCCCGTACTTTATGCTTCCAGTTTTCTCTTATCGGGCGTGAGCTTTTCTGAAAATGCTAGTTAACCTAAATTATGCCTCCTGCAAAAACTATTCCACTACAACTTCCTACATCGTACTCGGTTCTCTCTACCTATGATTTTAGCTTTACCGTGACCCCTCTACAGTTCTACATCTAGAAAGGCGGTACTATAAGATCGGTGGAATTGTTGGCAATTTTTAATTGCCTCAATTAATATTTTAATTATCTTAATTAATCAATTCAACAGTTAACATACTAAGTAACAGTTTCACTACATATGTCCCTTACTATCTTTCAGGCATTCTTCAACAATGATCTGAGACGTGATGTTGAGAAAATCATCAAAGATATACGACACAGTTTGCACACCATACTTGTGGAAGCTGATTGGTTGGATGAGGCCACAAGAGAAGCAGCACTACAAAAAGAGGCCGCTATCGCCGAATACATTGGACGTTATGAAGATACAAACATGACCAAACTTCTTCTGGCCGAATTGAAAAATCTTAAATATGAAGAAGACAATTACGACCTTAATAATTTGAATATGCGTAAATTTAAACAATCAATGAAACGTTTTAATGGCCTGCACTTTGAACAACTTGGCAATGATACAAAACCTCTGGAATTGCTTCTGGGCATGCAGGTGAATGCCTTCTATTACAACATCGATAATTCCATTTATGTTACGGCTGGTATTCTACATCCACCTGCCTTCCATAAGGCATGGCCAAATGCCCTGAAATATGGCACCATAGGTTATCTGGTGGGCCATGAATTTACTCATGGTTTCGATACAGTTGGTTCCAATTATGATGCCAATGGCAACAACAATTATTGGTGGTCCAGCAAATCGGGAAAGGTGTTTGAGGAACGTTCCGAATGTTATGTTGAATATTATCAGAATTATTCCATACCGGAAATTAATCGCAATATCAATGGCAATTTAACAAAAGATGAAAACATTGCCGATGGTGGTGGCTTGAGGATGGCCTATATGGCCTATCGCCGTAACCTGAAAGAGATGACAAAAAATGCTAATCTAATTGAAACCAATTTCCACAAAGAGGAACAAATGCCGGGCCTAGATTTATCGCCGGAACAGCTGTTCTTCTTGGGGGCTGCACAGCTTTGGTGTTCATCCTACAAAGAAGCCCACTATTGGGAAGAGCTGTCCGATGAACACACTATAGATAAGTATCGTGTTTTGGGCCTGGTATCGAATAACGAAGAATTTGCCAAGGCATTCAATTGTCCCATCGATAGTAAAATGAATCCTTCTACTAAAAAGTGTGAAATTTGGTAGTAGCATAAATAGAATTATTTTTAATTGTTTTAATTTCATTTGAAATTTGACTTTTTTTTACCTAATTTTAAGAAAATAAATATAAATAAAATAGAACTATATTAAAAACAATTAAATAAGCAATCTAAAGATCGAATCAATTCCATAGGATTATATAATGTTGGGTGCGTTTTAGATACTTTGGACATCCAAAAATTCTTTTCAAACTTTGCATTCGGTACATCGGCCCACACGGTAGCCCCCGGTATTCATTATTTTGATGATTGTACCCATATTTTTAAATGTAATTGTCTGAAAATCCACAAAAGGAGTTCCTTTTGAGTACTTTACCTCCTGGAAGAGAAATATCTATATAGATCCACGATGTAGTATAGTCCACATACAACGGTATCCCCCGATATTTTGATTTTAGGGACATTATTAACCGGAGTTGTTTCAAATTTAGTATTTAGGGTACTACAGCCTGTAGGTCTATCTCGTTTCCTTTTGCCTTTTACAAAAAAATGCACAAAGACGTAATACCTGTTCCACAGGTTTGCGTAGGGCATGCAAACTCTAATGACCTAATATACAGGGTGAGATGAAAAAACTGCAACCAGCCTCAGACTGCTGTCATTTCTACGCCACACGTCCGACAGCTGTTAAAATTATTCCAGTGACAGCTCATTATATTGTTTACAAGCGTACTCAAGTATTTTGGTGAGAATTTTCCAGAAAAAAAAAATTATTCGTGATGGAATTCAAGCGTGATAGTGTGATTTGTTTATATTAGGCTGGAAAACCACAAGTTGCTTTTCGTTAGAGCACTCCAGCATTTTAATGTGAATAAATCTTTTGTATCTCGTACAGCAACATCAGCAGAAACGGGCATCGTGTGACGGTTTCATTGGACGTTTGAAGGCCATAATTCGTGCCAAAGGTGACCAATTCGAACAAATCTAAACTTATTCTAAAATTTGATGCTATTTCCGACCTTTTTTTGCTTTCATTCAATAAAATAAAAAAAATATAAAAATTATGGCACTTGACTTTGCTGCAGTTTTTATACCCTACAACACTATGTGTTGGGGGTATTATAAGTTTGATTGGCCCAAAAATTATGTAACACCTCGAAATATTGGTTTCCCACATAGGAAAGTATATATGGATCTTCCTAGCTCGCCGAGCTGAGTCGATCTAGCTATGTATGTCCGTCCGTCCGTCTGTCCATGTTAATTTGTAATCACTCTACAGGTCGCAATTATGGCCCGATCTTCACGAAATTTAGAATGGAGGTGGGACTGGGGTCAGAATAGAACCCTATTTCTTTTGGAGATGATCGCCAAATGTTTAGGGGTTGAAATGGACCAAATACTGAAAAAATGTCGGATTTTGCAGTAGCTATACAGGTCGCAATTATAGACGGAATTTCGCATGTAGCTAGAGTTTAGGGCGGGGAAGAAGCCTACCAATTTGGGTGGTTATCGGATAACATTTAGCGGGTAAAATAGACCATATCTTTTGTGTTGAAAAAATTCAAAATTTTTCATTAAACCGCGAATATTTTAAATCCCGGCGAAATCACAAAGCCATGACAAGGTTACTTCTGATCTTTACACTGATGTTAACATCCAACAAAACGGATATATAGCAAAATATGTGCGATATATATGTTTATCAAAGAAGATATGCTTGAAAAATATCTTATATGTCGAGAACGGCTGAACTGATTTCGAAAGTTCTCATTAGTTTAGAATGGCCTCTTGGCAGGAAAGAAAAAGCGTTTAAAAAAATCACATAAAAATATCTCTCTAAAGATGAAAATATTGATTTTGTAAAATTTTCTCATATTTTTTCAATTTTGTCATATTTTTGGCATATTTTCATTTTGAATTAAACATTTGGTAATATTTCTACAGCTTACAAAACTAAGAAGTTAGGATATCAGGATATCATATGCAGATCTCATTTATGGCCCGATCCTTACGAAATTTTGCATGGAGATAAGATGAGGGTCAGAATAGAAACCTACTCTTTTTGGAGATGATCGCCATGGACCAAAAAACTGCAAAATTGTCGCCCGATCCTCACGCACATTTGAATGGGGGTTACCGGACATTGCAAAAGCAGTTTTGGATGGCCATCCAAAAATATTCAATGTGTGAAATAGTTTGCCAAATTTTGTAGACAAAATACGAAAATGTCGATTCCAGTGACTTTTTGGAGAATTCACAAATACAGGAAAGACGCACTTCTGACTATTTCGTTAACGCTGATTTCGTTGAAGAATATAGTCAAATGTCTGTTTCTCATTTCTTTGGAAAATATTGGTTCCAGATCTAGGAAGACCATTTACGTGCAACATCTACCAATAAATTGGAAATGAGCAAATTAGTTTAAGTTGCTATTATTCGAAAATTAGAGAACGAAGCCTGGTGGTTTTCTTTTAGTATCTGTCACAATATCTTGTGGAATTCTTTCGAGTATCTCGCCTATATCAACTGTATGGTTTATTATAGTGTTGTAGGGTATTCAACGGTCGGCCCCGCTCGACTGTAGCCTTTGCTTACTTGTTTTATCTCACCTTGTGTGTACTTACTTCTAGGAATATAATAGAATCTAATAATAGAATGAGTATATTTTGTGGAGCTACAAACAGAATGACACATTTAATGTACATGAAGGTAAGTAAAAAACCCTCTTTTTATTTATACAAACTTGGATTAAATTTAAAATTTTTAATACCAACATTGATTTTAAATAATATTATTGATTTCTAAAGCATATTTTTTCCGTCTGCGTAAATATTAGGTAAGTTTACTTGCGGCAAGTCTTAGTTTATCGGAGCTATGAGGCAAGTCCTTGTTTGTTAGGGTAATTTTCTGATAATTGTACTTGTGTTCTTAATTTTTATACAAAAATATTAATAACTATGACGGAAAAGGCAGTGATGAAAAATGGGAATTGCTGAATAAATGCAAGATGCAAGTTCAAAAGATAACGATAAAAATGCCACAAACAAACTCGCCTTGCCAAAAGCAGGATTATCTAAAGTTGTTTTTTAATGTGTAGAACATAAGTCGAATAAGACTGAAAATATCTCGACTTTAAAATTTATTCAGTTTTAAATGCTGACTTCCAATGTGAAGTGAGCCATATGGTTTATTGTCAGCCAAATCAGTTAAATTCGAAATAGGCTGTCTATGTTAATGTAATCTCTATAAACGTCACACCTTTGTCATATATTTAAAAAACTTACTACTTTACAAAAATTCTTTTCTTCTATTCAGAAATATATTCAAATACATTTCCAAACATCTTAATACGAGTATTTATATAACTATAAATAGCATATACTATTGTCAAATACTTTATATTTTTTGTTGTTGTTGTGATCCATTGCTACCAACGATCATAAATTAAGTCACGTTAAAATGTTGATGACCGCTCTGCTTATGATTGAAATATTCATCTTTAGATATTGTTGTTGGCATAAATCAAGTCAATATTGAATTCTAAATTTATTTTCTTTTAATAAACATGTTCATTTTTATTCTAAAACAAGTCAGTTAGTTAGCATTATAAAAACAAAGCAGGAGCGTAGTAAAAACAATTAAAACTTGATAGAAAGTAACGATCGGTTAGCCGGTTTATTGCGATGGCAAATTTGAAATCGATTGTGGACTTCGCTCAGTTTTCACACTACATATGTATAATATGAGACAAAATCAATAAGATTTGCGAAGGTTTTAGAAAATGGGGAACAACTTTCACATTTTGCGATTAGGAAAGAAGAATATGCGGATGCTTTGTCCGTTTGAGGAGGTGGTATCAAGTGAAAGCAGTTACATAAATATATGGTACCTGATATCAGTCTTGGTGCGTAGGCGTGTGATAAGGCTGGGTATTTGGGTACGAAAAGTATTAAAACTGAATACTTTTTATTGGACAAATGGAATAAGCTAAAGTCCTGAAATTTGGAATGATAGCCACTGATGGAGTACAGGATAGATGATTCAAACGGTTCCTGGAAATTCGATGGTTAAGGTTACGAAACGAAACTAAAAAAAATGGTACCATTTGCTATTATGTGAGCGGATAGAGCTAAAACTTTGGAAATTTGGTATGAGAATCTAGGTTGGAAAGTAAGATTGGTATATGAGGGTGGTTTGGGAAATGTATACTATGTGTACGAACTGTACTAAATGGTACTCAATTTGGAACGGTTTGGTTTAGGGACAGCGGATGAAGCTGGAATTTTGAAATTTTTCATTGGGATCCCTGTAGGTGGTTGGTTTGTGATGAAGAGGTAGTTTTGAAAATGTGTACCACAGAGCACGAAAAATATTAATTTGGTACAATTTGGTATTGGGTGAACAGATAGGGCTTGAAAAATTAGGGTCTATAATTGTACGAAAGTACTAAATGGTACTATATTTGATATTAGGAGAATTTAAATTTGATATTTAGGTAATTGTTTGTATCTCAGGTTGATATTTAGAAGTGGATTTTGAAAATGTGTACTATAATTGTACGAAAGTACAAATTTGGTATTGGGTGAAGAAATAGAGCTTGAACCCTGAAATGTGATATCGATGTCACTTTTGGTATATGTGGTTGTAAGAAGGAGCTGGTTTTGGATACAAAGTTGAAATCCTGAAATTTGATATTAAGGTCACTGTTGGTATCTGAGGTTGAGATATGGAGTTTATTTTGAAAATTTCATTTCTAAGTCACTTGTTCTAGCTGTTAAAATTATTCCAGTGACAGCTCGATATATTGTTTACAAGCGTACAAAAGCATTTTGGTGAGAATTTTCCAGAAAAAAAGTTATTCGTGACGGAATTCAAGCGTGATAGTGTGATTTCTTTATATTTGGCTGGAAAACCACAAATGGCTATCGTTAGAGCCCTCCAGCATTTAAATGTGAATAAATCTTTTGTGTCTCGTACCATCGTTCGTTACCGTGACGGAAAAAAACAGCCACATCAGCAGAAAGGGTTCGAAAAGTAAAGAAGCGACTTGAGCGAAACCCGCGTCGCAGTGGCCGAAAAATGGCTCGTGATCTGAACATATCGCTATATTCCATTTGGCAAATATTGAAAGATGAGCTCGGGGTAAATCCTTTGAAATTCCAAAAGGTGCAAGAACTTATACCGCAACGGAAAGAAAATAGACTCAAAAAAGCTAAAGAGTTGCTTCGCTTGGCCAAACGTGGTGAACTGCCAAATTTGGTTTTCTCCGATGACTTGGACAACCATTAACCATTCCACCATTTGGAACGACTTTGGCAATTTTCAAAAAAAAAAATCCGTTCAAAATTTTTGTCATAAACCATTACAATATTTTCAGTGAATAATGTAGCTAAAATCATCAAAATTCCGAATATAGTTAGGTAACATTATATTGGGGATATACGAATGCGTGGACCTGCACAGACAAATTACTGTCATAAGCTGTAGTATCCATTACGAAATTCAAACACCAAATTTGAAACCATTCCGGAGAAAAATGTCGCTAAAATAATCAAAATGCCGAATATCGGGAGGTACCGTTGTATGGGGGCTATACGAAGACGTGGACCAGCATAGACAATTTTCTGTCATAGGCTGTAGTATCCATAACGAAATTCCAACACCAAATTTGAAACAATTCCGGAGAAAAATGTCGCTAAAATAATCAAAATGCCGAATATCGGGAGATACTGTTATATGGTGGCTATATGAAAATGTGGGTTTGCATGGACAATTTTCTGTCTTAGGCTGTAGTATCCACTACGAACTTCAAAAAGGAAATTTGACATAATTCCGGTAAATAATGTCGCTAAAATCTTGAAAATACCGAATATCGGGAGGAACCGTTATATGGTGTCTATACGAAGACGTGGACCTGCACAGACAATTTTCTGCCATAGGCTGTAGTATCCATTACGAACTTCAAATACAAAATTTGAAATAATTCCGGTAAATAATGTCGCTAAAATCATCAAAATACCGAATATCGAGGGTACCGTTATATGGGGGCTATACGAAGACGTGGACCTACACAGACAATTGAAACAATTCCGAAGTTTGAAATATTTCCGGTAAATAATGTCGCTAAAAACATCAAAATACCGAATATCGGGGGTATCGTTAAATGGGGGCTATACGAAGACGTGGACCTGCACAGACAATTTTCTGCCATAGGATGTAGTATCCATTATGAACTTCAAATACAAAATTTGAAATAATTTCGGTAAATAATGTCGCTAAAAACATCAAAATACCGAATATCGGGGGTATCGTTAAATGGGGGCTATACGAAGACGTGGACCTGCACATACAATTTTCTGTCTTAGGCTGTAGTATACATTACGAATTTTATGGCCCATTTTCAATACCAAAAGTCCTGCAGACATAATATACATTTGAGTAAAATTTTATCAATCTCCTTCAATTCGTTCAAAAGCTAGAGTGATTTCCACAGACGGATAGACGGGCGGACATCGCTAAATCGACATAAAATTTTATGCTGATCAAGAATATATATACTTTATAGGGTCTAAAATGCATATTTCGAGGTGTTTCAACGGAGTGACAAACTTTATATACCCTCCATACTATGGTGGAGGGTATAAAAGGAATATTTCCATTTTTCAAGTATTGTCGATATATGTTTTCCGGTATCACCCATGTTCTCCACAAATAGAACAAGCTACGCCCCTGTTTCAAAGAAGCTAAACAAGTTGGGCATAAATGCAAAATATTAAAATATTTCAAACTTGTTGCAGATCATCATAAATATTTTCAATATTAGAAATACAATTTTAGTAGAGGTGTAGATTTCAAAGCTTAAGGCACACACAGAGTTAATTGAAAACAATTCGAATCGGAAAGATGATATTCGATTGCGGTGCAAATGAACTTTAAAAAATGTCATTGAACAAAAGTTGAAATCAACAAAAAAAAAGTGAAACTAAAAACAAATTAAAATAAAAAAACGATCTCAAATAAAAAAGAAATAAATAAATAAATCTCAAATCATGTTTAGAAGTAGTAAACGGACAAAATGCAAAGTGCAATTGTTGTTCTTGTTATTGTTAATATTTATAGTAAATTTTAAAAGTATCCTTTGTGCAGCTGTAGCATATACGGCGTTCAGCAATGAAGTATTCGACAATACGGATCTCTTGCGATCCAAATATACCGGCCAAATGTTATCCTTTATGAACTTTTCCATTGATCCTTGCGAGGATTTCTATGAATTCGCCTGCGGAAATTGGAAAAATGTTATCGAAGAACATCAGTCGCCTAGTAAACGTACCAATCTTAATGATATTGACTACGGCTTGGCCAATATCGCTGAAATGTTACTACAAGAACCAAATATTTTAAATATTGCCCCCGAATACGATGAGGAGTTTCAATTAACCAAAAAATTCTACTATGATTGTCTGGCAGCCAATCTGGTCGGCATTACAAAATCTGAGGATTATTTGGAAGTTCTTCAACAGATTGGTGGTTTTCCGGCCCTTGATCCTGACTGGGATCCTGCAGCTTTTAGCTGGGTAAATATGAGTGCCCACATGAGCAATTACGGCATTAGTGGTATGATGCGTGAAGGTGTTGTCCCTGAGTACCCTTTCCAAGCCTATTTTGATTTGCCCAGTTTTGGATTAGAAATAGAACTTCATCCGGACAGTATTCAAGACACCAGTTCCAACGCTTATCAAACCAATTATCAAAGAATGCATGACATTTTATCTGTTTATGAAATCGAGGAAGATCAAATACCAGTTATTGTTGATGAAATATTTGAAATGCTTCGGGAGGTACTTGTTGTGTTTGAAGAATTTGATGAAAATGAATTCAAATGCAAAAATATAACCAGTTTACTGGATGAATCCACTGCTGAGGCTGTTAACATTACCGTGAGAGAGCAATGGCAGAGCTATTTAGAGATTGCTTGGAAAAATAAAGATTTGGAATTGGAAGATGATTATAAACCGTGCGATTATCTCTACTATAAACTGGAGACTATATGTGCTGACCACAAAGAAGCTGTTGCAAATTATTTATCCCTGAAATTTTTGCATGAACTCGATTCCCAACTCAAGGATGTGAAGTATCAAAAGGAGTATTGTGTATCGAGGATGCGTGCCGTGATGACGTTTTTATTTGATCATTTGTATATGAAGGTAAGGTTTTTATACTGAAGCAATTCGAAATTGCTAGTCAAAACAAGTTAGAGAGAGTAAATACGAAAGTTTATCCATAGATGGAAAAATATACACGCTAGCGCTTGAGTCTCTTATTCTCTGCCACGATTGAAACAGACATTTACAATTTTTTTTTCCAAAATTGCTTCTTTTAAAAATTGTTTGAGATACCTGTAATCTTCTATCGTGAGTGAGACATTAGTTATTTGATGGGTATAGTAGAAGAAGGGATGTAGATGTGTTAACGCTTGAAAACATTGATATATCAACTTTTTTTGAGTATATATTTTTTTTAAATAAGTAAATTTTATATGTCATATAAGAATCACACCAATCGGAGGTTTTTATGATATACGTTTTTAAACAAATTTTACAAAGAGAAGACAGAGACATGTCAATATCCAACATTTTGGTTTCAAAATTCTATACCATTGACCTTTCAGAAATTCACATGGGTAACTATATTGTTATGATATCATTACAACAGAGGAATTTTCACAGGGTTGCCATATTTTTACTCTGTATTGTATTATTTTTATACTTCTATGTCTTTAATATAAATTCTGGATAAGCGAAAAAAATCAGAATTGGTAATGGGAACTACAGCCTTTGCCTAAAAATTTCGTATGCAGGTCCACGTTTGCGTATAGCATCCATATAACGGTACCTCCCGATATTCTGTATTTTGATGATTTTAGCGGCAAGTGCACATTTTCAGCTGACCTCTTTGGCAAGTAAACACGATCATTTTGTTTGTTTACAAACTGCTGGACAACGAATGTTTTCTCATCGGAGAAAATCAAATTCAGCAGTTCTCCACTTTCGGCCAAGCGAAGCAACTCATTAGCTCTTTTGAGTCTATTTTCTTTCTGTAGCGGTGTTAGTTCTTACACTTTTATACTCCCTACCATACTATGGAGGGTATATTAATTTTGTCATTCCGTTTGTAACTCCTCGAAATACTCATGCCAGACCCAACAAAGTATATATATTCTTGATCAGCGTAAAACTCTAAGACGATTTAACCATGTCCGTCTGTCTGTCCGTCTGTCTGTCTGTTGTAATCACGCTATCTTTCGGAAAAATTGAGATAGAAGGCTAAAATTTTGCACACATGTATATTTTGCCAGTAGGCAGGTTAAGTTCGTAAATGGGCCATGTAGGTCTAAGTTACCATATAACCCCCAAATAACGGTACCTCCCGATATTAGGTATTTTGACCGGAATTGTTTCAAATTTGGCATTTGAAGTTCATAATGGATACTACAGCCTAAGACAGAAAATGGGCCATGTAGGTCCACGTCTTCGTATAGCCCCCATATCCATACCCCCCGATATTCGGTATTTTGATGATTTTATTTCAAAGTTGGCATTTGAAGTTCGTAATAGATGCTGCAGCATAAAATAGAAAATGGGCCATGTAGGTCCACGACTTCGTATGGCCCCCATATACCGTACCCCCTGATATTCGGTATTTTGATGATTTTAGCGACATTATTTACCGGGATTGTTTCAAATTTCGCATGTGAAGTTCGTAATGGATACTTCAGCCCATGCAAGAAAATTGTCTGTGCAGGTCCACGCCTTCGTATAGCCCCCATATAACGGTACACCCTATATTCGGTGTTTTGATGATTTTAGCTACATTATAAACAGATTTTTCTTCAAGTTTCGCATTAAAATATTGTAATAACTTATGACAAAAGTTGCCTATGCAGGTCCACGTCGTCGTATAGTCATTCGGTATTTTTTAAGATTTTAACAGAATTTTTAACGGATTTTATTTTATTTTTTTTATTTTTTTCGAAATTGTCAAATTTGTACCAAATGGTGGAGGGTATTAAAAGTTCGGTCCGGCCGAACTTACAGCTTGTTTACTTGTTTGGAATTTCAGTGGCTTTACCCCGAGCTCATTTTTCAAGATTTTCCGAATGACGGCAACTGCGACGCGGGTTTCGAACAAGTCGCTTCTTTACTTTTCAAATAATTTCTACTGATGTTGCTGTTTTCTTCCGTCCACCTCCTTGACGTCGGGCTACGCTACCAGTATCACGGTAACGAGACACAAAAGACTTATTCACATTTAAATGCTGGAGTGCTTTAACGATAGATACTTGTGGTTTTCCAGCCAAATATAAAGAAATCACACTATCAAGCTTGAATTCCATCACGAATAACCTTGTTTCTGGAAAATTCTCACCAAAATACTTTTTCTTCTTGTAAACAATATAATAAGCTGTCACTGGAATAATTTTAACAGCAGTCGGACGAGTGCACAGGAAATGACAGCAATCTGAATTTGGTTGCAGTTTTTTCATTTCACCCTGTAGTTCCCATTAAACGGAACTCCTAATTTGTTAATATTTGCTATTGGAAAACCAGATAGGAAAATATATTCAGGTGCGGTGTTTGACGTTTCCATATGCAACCGATAAACCCTATTTAGGGGTTTTGAAGAGCTTACCCACACTTTAAATCGATTGATTTATTATTGCAGCCTGTCTTAACTTAGCGGCGTTTTATTTGATACCTATAAAACCCTTCTTAAAGCCTATATGACCTTTTCATAAAATGTAACATTAATGACAATTCAGACAGCTAATTCACGTTTGTGCCTTGACTTTGAATTCAAAGCATTATTTTTTGCATTAATGCAATAAAAAGGTTTAATAAAACTAAATTCCATTCATTAAATTTATTAACAAAGATCGTCATATTACTAATAGCTGTAGTGTAGAAAACAAAAACTATTCGTGATATTTAATAGCTCATTAACCTTTCTTGCAGCTCTACGCCAACGAAGAATTGTTCGACGAGGTGAATGCAATGATTGATGATATCAAATCAAGTTTAAGCTCCCTGGTGGAAGAGGCCGAATGGTTGGATGATGAGACACGTGAAGAAGCTCTTCTTAAAGAAGCGAGCATAAATAAAGTCATCGGACGATATGAAACACCCGAAACCGTACAACGTCTTATAGCTGAAATGAAAAATCTCGAATTCGTTGAAGGTGGAAGTTATGAGGCAAACAATTTAAATTTAAAGAAATTCGAACAATTTATAGATCGCTACAATGGTCTACATGCTGCGGAGTTGGATAACAACACAAAACCGCTGCAATTGCTGGTGGGAATGCAGCCAAATGCTTTTTACTATAATATCGATAATTCCATGTATGTAATGGCGGGTGTATTGCATCCACCAACATTTGATAAGATTTGGCCAAATTCACTGAAATATGGAACGCTGGGCTATTTGGTGGGGCATGAGTTGACCCATGCCCTCGATACAGCGGGTGCCAAATACGATCACACTGGCAGTAAGCGTTACTGGTGGTCTGACTACTCGGATAGTTTGTTCAAGGAGCGAGCCCAATGTTTTGTTGACTACTTCAATAACTATCATGTTCCGGAAATAAATCGCAACATTAACGGCAATATCACGAGAGATGAAAATATTGCCGATGCCGGTGGTTTGCGTGTAGCTATGTTGGCTTATCGTCGTCTAAGGGAAAATATCGCTGCCGAAAATCCAGCATCAGCAATGGATGATAGCGATGAACGTATGCCAGGTTTAGATTTTACACCCGAACAATTATTTTTCCTAGGCAATGCCCAGGTGTGGTGTTCATCCTACAAGGAAGCCAATTATTGGGAGGAGCTGTCCGATGTCCACACCATTGATAAATATCGTGTCTTGGGTATGGTGTCAAATAATGCTGATTTTGCCCAGGCATATAATTGCCCCTTGGGTAGTGCAATGAATCCCGTTGAAGATAAGTGTATAATATGGTAGTTTTAAGGCAACCACAAAAGTAATATAAGAAAATAAATTTAGATAATTGTTATATAGTGTAATATTTATTTGTTTCTTTTGAGGGGTCAGTATATTAGGTTTGACATATTAGCAATAGGAGGCTTAAAATGAGCATTTTGATGGGTGTAGCCTAATTGTATGGAATTCGACATTTTAAACCCTTCATTCCCTCTGAGAGAACCGTTTTGACCAGAAAATACGGAAACTATTCGAAAATGTAAAAGTTACAACCAATTAGAAATGGGAAACAACTATTTTTTACTCGGCCAAGTTCGTCTAGCACAATGTAGTAAAAACGAAAACGAGTTTTTTTTGTGGGCTCTCTTCATTATACCCTCCACATTGAGAAGTAGAGTATATTAACTTTGTCATTCCGTTTGTAACATCCCTAAATATTGGTCGTAGACCCTATAAAGTATATATATTCATGATCGGTCGATTTAACGGTGTCCGTCTGTCTGTCAAAATTTGGCACAACAATTTGTATTGTCCACGTTTTGGCATAGCCGCCATAGAACGGTACCTCCCGATGTTCACTATTTTGATGATTTTCGCCACACTTTTTCACGGATTTGTCTAAAAATTTGTATTTGTAGGTCATAATAGGTCCTAGCTCCGGTGGCGAAACATTGTATATATAGGTGTAAAAACATTTTCTATGCTATAAAGCAATTTTTTTCAGATAATAAATTATGTGAAACGCCTTAACGTATGTTATTAAAACGCTTAACATAAATATAGTAAAATAGCAGCTATGTTCGGCCTTAGTAATAGCAGCTAAGTAATGTCGCTAATATAATGAAAATACCGAGTATCGGGTGGTACCGTCATATGGTGGCGATACGAAGATGTAGACCTACATACAAACATTTTTCTCATAGGCTGTAGCACCCATTACAAACTTCAAATACGAAATTTTAATTAATTCCGGTAAATAATGTCAAAAATAAAAAAAAATAAAATACCTAATATAAGGGGGTGCCGTTGTACGGGTGTTATAGGATATCGTGGACTTATAATAACACTTCTCTTCCAGAGGGTAAAGTACTCAGAAAGAACTCCTTGTGTGGATTTTCATACAATTCCATTGAAAAATGTGACTACAATCATAAAAATACCGAATATCGGGGGGTGTCGTTGCATGGGGGCTATACGATATCGTGGACATATATTAACAATTCTCTTCCAGAGGATAAAGTACTCAGAAAAAACACTTGTGTGGATTTTTAGACAATTCCATTGGAAAATGTGGCTAAAATCATCAAAATACCGAATATCGGAGGGTACCGTTGTATGGGGGCTATACGATATCGTGAACCGACATAGCCCACCTTCGAACCTGCCTGCAGACAAAAGACTGATCTGTGCAAAAAAACTTTCTATCTTTATTCATTTTGACTCTAGCATGATTAAAACAGACGGATGGACGGACAGGGCTAAATCGTCTTGGAATTTTACGCTGATCAAGAATACGATACGTTGTTATGTCTAAAATGATTATTTCGATGAGTTACAAACGGAATGATGAACTTATTATACCCTCCATACTATGTATGGTTGAGGGTATACAAATCTAAACCTAGGATTGCATGACTTTACCTTCTTAATTGTGTACCAAAAATAACCCCAAGGTGCTCGGCCCTATTTCAGTTCTTTGGCGGCGATGTGGCAACATCCCCCAAAAATCCATCAGCCGATTGCGTTTCCCCTATGTCTCATTCGTAAACAACAGAGATCCCTCGGAGATTTTGCTTTCTCTTTAACTTTTATCGGACATTCCTCTTTACCTTTCTTCTTTCTTTCATTTTGGGTTTCATCCGATAGATTTACACAACAGTCACAACAGTTCTGGAAGTTTAACCCGCCAGCACAATGATAGCCTTACGTAGAATAGTTTATAATAGACAATTTGAACAACTCCTTAGGACGATGTCCGCTACTAAGGCCAGTTATATCACTGGAGGCAAAGTGTGCCAAAACGATAGTAATCTACCGGCATTGCAAAATCCATTTGCCTCTTCCATTGCAAGGCATTTTAGTTTAACAAAATCACATCAAAAATACAATAAAAAGGATGTGGAATCGGATAGTGAAGACGAAGAGGAAACTGAGTTTAAGGATGAGAGAGACTCCAAAGTTGTCAAAGCCAAAGTCAATTCACTGCGAGCCGATTTGATATTGAAAGCCGGTTTGGGAATGGCCAGAAAGTAGGTATAATAACTCACATTTTCTAATCTAATAACGAGTATAATTGGATATATTTTTTCCAAATGTATGGTAGCAAAGTTGAAAACATATTCTATGAGAGTAGAATACGTGTAAATGGTAAAAAGCTGCAAAAGAAAAGTGTTCAGGTTAGTTGCCTTGTACAATTCAGTTGAAAGTCAATCTCAGTAATTCTGTCTTTTCTCTTTCAGCTCCACGATGGTGACGAAATTGATGTCATACGAGGTTTCAGCCAGACCAATCCATCTCATTTGATAGTATCTCGTGTCATAATTCTTTCGGAAGCTGAGCGTGAAGAGGGATTCAGTGTCCAATTGAGACGTTATAAAAGTCTACTTATTGAAAACTATTCCGGCTCAAATGCTTTCAAGGCTTCTGGTGGAGGGGATCACTGACGGACATTTAATTGAAAGACTTGTGTTATATTACAGAGACCAAAGTGTGAAATGCCGATTGTTAAATTCTAAAATTATAGTCAATTATTAAAAATTCAACTAAGAACCTAAGGATTTTTAACTTAGCTAATATAAATACCAACATAATTCCTAAAATATCAGGCTCAAATCGAAAAACTATTGATTAAATGAGATTAAAATTTAAAACTTAATTTCTAGTTTGAGGGCTATTTTATTTAGATCTACATATATTTAAGGGTATCCCTTTTATATTAAGGATACTTTTTACGATTTTTTATTTCTTCTAGCCATTCTGTTGGTTTTCAGAATTCACTTATTGGAACTTTAAACCTTTTTTACTCAATTAGAGAAAATACATTTGATTCTATGTACGATTTGAATTTATGTACGATGTAAGATTAGTTGTGGTTTATACATATCACATTCTATTTATCTAATAGTTTTCCCTTCAAAATTGCTTTAATGGGTTTTTTATGTCTTCTATAAAGGCTTTCTTCTGGTCTGAACAAAAAATATCCTGGTTTAAACAAATACTTCATCTTCGCCATCCAGTGGTCTATAAAAAATCTACTATTTTCATCGGATATAAGGACTACGCTCTCCATTCTGATCGTCTGTCTAGAAGCACTGCATCTATAAGTTCTCTCTATCGATTTTTTACTTAAACTCCCTACTGCCAAGCTTTTTGATTGAGAACACTCTTTTGTTAAAGGAACTACATTTTCTATTGTTATTTTTTAATGATTTTATTTTTCGAATTTTTCTTATTTCTTTTCTTTTTAGGCTTTTTGTTGGGGTTCGGTTTGATTTTATGTACAACAAGTGATTTGTATTCACCTAAGAAATCAACTGATTCATCGTCAGAATCTGAATTTTGAATATCTTGAGGTTCCTTTACACATGAACTGGAATCATCTTGCAATGACACTTCCATAGGTTGTACTTCTTCTTTTGATTTAATTTGGATTTTTGGTATATTATCCATAATTCGTGATAATGTATCGAGGGCTACATTTTCATCTTGTAAACTTGTTTCTCTCTTGACAACACTTCCTTTGCCAAATGAAATATAATCACCTTTCCAGGAATCTTTGTCCGTGCCAGTAGATAATTCTGGCGATTTAACAGATTCCTCAACATTTTCTGGGTTGTTATCTCTTTTAATGTTACTAGATTTCCTTTTGGGTTTCTTAATGGGCACAACTTCTTTCTTCACCCTTTTAGGTTTTCTTCTTTGCTCAACCCATTTGTATAAATCCTCACTAATATCATCAAGGTTTTTGGGCAAAACCATACAGAGCGTTCTTATACCGAATAATTTTTCTGTGAATTCTTCCAAACGAGGTTGAGCATATACGGGTTGAGTTTCATCCTTAATTTCGGCATTGCGAGCCACCAACGATGCTATATGACTGGGTTTAATACTCAATGAAATGAAAACACAAGAACTTTGCTGGTTATTTATTGTCCGCAGGCCACTTTCCAAACCTAAGTGAATATGTTTAGCGGTGACAAATTTTTTGGCTTCCATGCCGCTATTAGAAATCGCTGTTTGCAATATATTCTCTAGTTGGACAAGTTCATCTTCACTTAAAATTGGACTGCAATGAAAGTTGATTTATATTAAATGCAACCAACGGTAGGTCATCACTGATTTACCTCTTTTTCTTTGCTGGATTCGCTAAAATAGTTTTTAGTTTTGGAAGAGCCTTCTGTTTTCCCCTTGCTTCCTTATCCTTAAGGCTCATGTTAGAATTCCTCATCCTTTCCTTATATTTCACGTGTATCAACAACAAAATTTTGTTTTGATTTGAGTGGGGTATGTTCAGTGTGGACATTGCGTTACACAATGGTTAGTGGCAACGTAAAAGTACGTTTACATTATTGAATGTTAAGCAATTAGGCAAAGGGATCAGGTGGAATGTGAAAACATATGTTAAATTTATTCAAATTATGCAATTATAAGGGTCAATCCATCCCCTGTGGGTTAAACAGCAATTATTATTTTAATGTCGCTTCTGAAAATGTCTCAAAGTAATAAGAATACACATACAAGAACTGTTTACGTGTTATGACATTACAAGACCCAAACAAATTGTTTTCAGGTGATTGCTATACTCTGATTGTACGGTGGTTTAAAAGTCTTGAACAAGAAAACAGATGATTTGGGAAACTATATATGTTTTTATATTTTATTTATTATTAAAATCGAAGTGTGTTTAAAACTAAAGCTATGTGTATTATTTTTATAATGTTTAATAAAATATAAATAAAATAAAATTTTAATAAAATTAATATGATAATAGTAAGTGTATTAAATATAAATCCATTCTTAACGGGGTTTTAAACCACGCTTTACATAATTATTTTTTTATAAAAACCACGCTTTACATAACTTTTTTTTATAAAAATAAATGTTTACACTCAATAAGGCTTAAATGTCTTTTCGTTTCGTCTGATCTCATTCTGCTAAATCAATAGTTGATTGCTTTCTGGAGCATCAATGATAATTTGTTTTACAGCATTTTTACAATTGTTCCTAACCAAGATTAAAATCTCAATTTTGATTTAATCCCTCAATAGTTTTGGATCCTTCCATATAACAAAGACTTCCGGTAGGACAGGTACTTCATCACTTGAATCATCTGTATTGATTATTTTCGGTTTATTAGTTTCATGGGTGTATTTGAACTTATTTAAGTTGAAAGGCTTCGCAATATTTGGATTTTTGCTAAAAAATTCGTACCAATTCCGGGTTTTATTTGAAGAATTTAAGGTTGCATTAGTTGACACTTCGTTTGTTAAACTAGAATCATTGATGTTAATTTGACCATCCTTTGAGAAGTTACAACGTGGTATTTGTAAAATGGATGTAGCATAGTTGCTGCCTTGGATTTTACCTTCAATTTTCGTGATATCGCCATAACTTGTTGGATTATCTTCAATATCATTTTTGCGTGTGACAGGTTCAGTATTACTTTCATTTGGAGGTAACGCCAATGGACTACTCTTGAAATTGTCTGTGATGTATTTCAAGCCAGCACCGTTCACATCCTTGTTTTGGACACGCTGATTGTCAAATGAAGATGCTGATGGAAGAGGGTTGAAGTAAACCTTATCGGTTCCGCCAATATTCAATTTGTTTGAATGTGTTAACTCAATAGTTGCTCTGCTCTCTTGAACTTCCTTAGTCGAGTTGGAATTTTTGTTTTGTATCTTTATTTCCGTTATGACATTTGATGTAGTCGTTTCAAATGTCGGCACTTCTGACTTGTTATATTGATTCTCCAAAGGCTTAAAAAAAAATAAGGATTCCAATATTTTGCCAACATAACGTTTGGATGGATTAGAAGATTTGGTTTTGGCAACGTACGGGCGGTAGCTTCTATAATTGTATGCTTTAGGCCGAGCGATATAACTTTCCACAAGACTGACATATTCTCGCGAAGATTTTGGCCTTTGCAATATATGTTCCATTCTTGTTCGAAAGCTTTCCATCCTGGGTCTCCAGGGATAGCTTTGGCCAACTTTTAGATTTGTGATACCAAATAGAAAGAAAATGAGAAAATATTTCGACAACATTTTGATTTGAGTGGTGAAAGAAAACTGTTGCTCGCTTCCTGATACGAAACGGTTTAAATATCGATGACAGAAATACTTCCGCAATGCCGGACACTTTTTTACCTGCTTTTTGTATTTTTTAAACACACAAACAAAAGGGTTGACCATTGTTTGTTTTTTTTTTTTTTTTTTTTGGATTTCCTACTGTGGCAATTAGGAAGGAGGGGGTTTTAACACTTGCATTTTCAACGTTCCCAAAAGGCCGTGACAAACATGAGCGCTTCTAATTACCTAAATTATCCCATGAAGTTAATAATACCGGTATGCGAAACAATATAACCTTGAAATATTAATTTCGTTTTCTATTCAACAATCCTTTATTCTTAAATGTTTTATCCTGTTACCAATTCAACATATTTGGGGAAATTTGTCAGATTCTGTAATTCTTTTCAATGATCAATGGGGAAATTTTATTCAAATAAACTACATTTTTACCTGTCAATAAATATGGGAATTTTGTAATTACGAAAATGCCCAGTAGCCAAATGTAATAGAAATACCTAATTAGATCATGGTTTTCAGCATTTTCTCTGAAATATGGAGTTTAAACAAACAAAATTATCGTGTTCACTTGCCAAAGAGATCAGCTGAAAATGTGCACCTTCGGTTGTCCACCAGAATTCAAGCGCCGGCCATGGTGATGCTTTGGGCCGCCATAACAACCGATGGTCGCTCTCCGCTCGTATTAATCGGCCGTGGCATCAGAATAAATGCCGAATATTATTGCGAAAATATTCTGGAGGGTGTATTGAAGCCTTGGGCACGCAAATATTTTCGCTGAAGACCTTGGACATTCCAACAGAACTCATCACCATCACCATCGCACTCAGCACACGCCACCCAAGAATGGATACAAAATGACGTTCCTCGCTTCATTTCCAGCGCACAATGGCCACCAAAATATCCGGATACCAATCCTTTGGAGTAGATTGGAAAGCAAGGTTGGCACTAAAACATGCCAAAGTGTCGATCACCTCAAGCAAGCGCTTCGCCGGGAATGGGCCAAAATAACTCAGAGCAACATTCGGGCAGCGTGTGACGGTTTCATTGGCCGTTTGAAGGCCATAATTCGTGCCAAAGGTGACCAATTCGAAAAAAATATAAACTTATTCTAAAATTGCCATGCCATTTGCTAAAGTTTTTTGCTTTTATTCAATAAAATAAAAAAATGTAAAAATTATGGCGTTTGACTTTGTTGCAGGTTTTTTATCTCACCCATACATAAATAAATTTTGAAATACTGAAGTTATATATCTGCCGAACAACCGACTGAGACTTTCCAACTTGTTAACAAAAAATTTTTGATTGTGATCTATTCTAAATGCCAATATGTTTTAAATCTCAGACACATCTTGCGGTTGAAATCATGGTTCAAAAGTTAACATTGGTAAGATTAAAAATTAACATTTTTTCGGATTTTGAAAATTTGGCGGAACATTTTATTTTTGCTCTATGAGTCTCAACATCTTTGCATAGGTGTAGGAAAATAAATAGGAACATATTTAACCCCTTTTTGCATAGTGATTAAAATTTCCATCATTCCAAATATTGTCTAAAATCTATATGATTCCCTCTAATTATGCCCTCGCCATATGGCTATACAGGTATATATCATTTCATACGGCCAAAACGTGTCTCGTCGAAACAATGATTTTAAACCCTAGCTTTGGACCAAATCAGAATATTGGAGTCTATCTAGAGGTCTCCGTCCGTCTGTCTGCCTGGTCGGTTGGTACACACGATAACTTGGTACATCGTAATATTATTGTTAAACTTAGATAGAGATCGGTTATGGGCAACATTGGCCCACTCTTTCTGTTACACCCCCACAAAAGGTCAAAATTGACAAAGAAAATAAATAACAAAGAATGAAATTCATAAAACGCGAAATGTGCATCCTATTATTTGTAAACTCTGCACATCCGTAAATCGACATAGAATTTAATGCTGATACTTTGTGGGCTCTAAAATGTATGTTTCGACGTGTTTCAAACGGAATGACAAACTTATTATACCCCCCATACTAAGGTGGTGGGTATAAAAACACGCAAAGAGGAATTACATTTTCTTGTTGTTACAACCGCCATCTACATTTCGATTTTGTTATTATAAAAAGTCTAAACCACATTAACTCAGGTTCGTGGCAATACTAATAATGCATTTAATGTGTCTCTTTATCTAACATAAATATAAATTAGAAAGGTCGATTTAATTACCATCAAATATAAATGTTCAATGAAATTTGAAATTTGCAAAAAAATGTTAGATCCGTTTATTGTAAGTCTTCTTAGTACTCATTATGCACAATTTGTCCAGTTTTAAAAAATTGTTTGATCAAAACTTACAACGTTCTAAAAAAAAACCTTTAAACCTTGTAAGTCTGAAATTGCAAGGTTTTTTATAAATAGAACAATGTTTGCCTTTTATACCAAAATATCTTCAAAATCGTTCATACCGAAGAGCATATTAGTAAAACCATTGCAAAATGGACCCACATCAAATTTTTCTGTCCAAAACTAGTTCAACGTATTCATATATAAAATCTAGAAACAAAAAGTGACCACAATATCAAATGTTCAGCCCTATCGCTTCATCCAAATTTAGTAACATTTAGTACGCGTTTTCAAAAACTTCTACATGTCCTCATCCTGGACACCAACAGTACTTTTCGAACAATTATAATACGCATTTTCAAAACCACCACCACCAGATACCAACAGAGACCTCAAAACAAAAAAAGCGTTCCAGCTCTATCCGTTCACCCAATTCCAATTTTATTACCATTCAGGAATTACAATTATAGTACACATTTTCAAAACAACCATGAACAGCGACTCTTATACCAAATTTCAGATCTGTTCACCCGATATCAATTGTAGTACTATTTTGTACTTTTCGTACAATTATAGTACACATTTCCAAAACCATCTCCTCATATTATCTCAACACAGATAGTAATAGTAACCTCAATATCAAATGTGAGGACTCCAGCCCTATTCCTTCAGCCAATATCAAATTTAGTAACACTTAGTACTTTTCGAACCATTATAGGACACATTTCCAAACCACCGACAAATCTCAAACAAATTTCCGAATTTTAACTCTATCTCTTCACCCAATACCAAATATAGTACCATTCTGCACTCCAAAAGTGTATCTCATTCCAAATTTTCAGAATTCTAGCTCATTCCGTTTATCCAAAACAAAGTATTCAATTTTAAGTACATATTAGTACTTTTCTTACCCTTTTAGTACGGATTTCCAAAAGTCCAGTCTTATCAGTCGCCTACGTAACAAAATTCTAACTTTAACTTTTTGGACATTGATTCTCAGTCAGTTATTTCACAATTTTTTTTATACCCTCTTTGGCTAGGGCCAAAACGTGCTTTACCTAAATAACGATTTTAGACCCTAGGTCTCTTTGGACCAAATTCGTTTCAGGACATTTTGTGTCGATCTAAGGGTGTTTGTTTCGTTTTTTCTATCTGGCTGGTGCGCACGATAACTCTTGAAGGAAATATCCGATTTGGTCCAAACTTGGTACATCATAATATTAAATGTAAATGGTCAAGACCAACAATAACACAATATTTCTACCAACACAAGATCTGGTGTGGAGGCGGAGTATATCAGACCACTCCTTCTTGTACCTCCCCCTACAAAGGGTGAAAATGTTGAATAATTATATCTCTCATAAAATACGAAATAAGCAAGAGATTCTCTTCAAATTTCACATATCCTAATATTTCCATCAACACAAAACCAGGTGTAAGGTGAAATATGCCGGACCACTCCTTCTGGTACCTCCCCCACAAACGACCAAAATATTTAAAGAACATATTTTACTTCAAAGAAAGGAAAATTTCTTTCGATTTTGTGAAAACTCAAAGCAAATCTCACTATTTTTGTCAGTGCTAGGTCAGGTGGGGAAATGGTCGATATCGGCCCCCTAACTCAAGTACCTCCCCCACAAAGGGTCAACACTTGGAATAATTAAAACGCTTGTAAAATGTGAAATAAGAGTCCAATTCTACTAACACAATATTTCTACCAACACAAGATCTAGTGTGGAGACGGACCACTCCTACTCGTACCTCCCCTACAAAAGGTGAAAATGTTGAATAATTATATCTCTCATAAAATACGAAATAAGCTACAGTTTCTTTTGAAATTTTAGATATCCCAATATCATCAACACAAAACCAAGTGTGAAGATCAAATATGTCGGACCACTCCTTATGGAACCTCCGGGTCAATATTTTGAATATGTATATCTCTCATAACTTGCTATATATAGATAACGGAACTTCTCAATTTGGGTTATTTAGGATAGCAAGTCGAGGCGTGAAAAGTTCTTTAAAGTCTATCCTCACTTGTTCAACACTCCACCATAGTATGGAGGGTATATTAAGTTTGTCATTTCGTTTGTAACCCCTCGAATTATACAATTTAGATCAGCATAAAATTCTATGTCGATTTAGCGATGCCCGTCCGTCCATCCGTCTGTGGAAATCACTCTAGCTTCCGAACGAAATGAAGTAGATTGATAAAATTTTACTCAAATGTATATTATGTCTGCAGGACTTTTGGTATTGGAAATGGGTCATGTAGGTCCACGTTTTGTTATAACTCCCATATAACGGTACCTCCCTATATTCGGTATGTTGATGATTTTAGCAACACCGGAATTGTTTCAGTCTAAGTCTAAGCCAGAAATTGTCTGTGCAGGTCCACGTTTTCGTATAGCCCCCATATAACCGTAACTACCGATATTTTGATGATTTTTGCGACATTATTTGCCGGAATTTTTCCAAATATGGTACTTGAAGTTCGAAATGGATACTACAGAAGACATAAAATTGTCTGTGTAGGTCCACGTCTTCGTATGCCTCCCGATATTCGGTATTTTGATGATTTTAGCGACATTATTTACCGGAATTTTTCTAATTTGGTATTTGAAGTTGGTAATCGATATTACTGTCTATGACAGATATTCGGTATTTTGATGATTTTAGCGACATTATTCACCGGAATTGTTTCAAATTTGGCATTTGAAGTTCGTAATGGATACTACAGCCTATGACAGAAAATTGTATGTACAAGGTCCACGCCTTCGTATACCTCCTGACATTCGGTATTTTAATGATTCGTATAGCCCCCAAACAACGGTACCTCCCGATATCCGGTATTTGATGATTTTAGCGACATTATTCACCGGAATTGTTTCAAATTTGGTATTTAAAGTTCGTAGTGGATACTACAGCCTATAACCCCTATATAATGGCACCTCCCGATATTCAAACTTACAGCTTTTTTACTTGTTTCTTGATATAACACAAGGGATCGATTATAAAAAATATTACTTATATTCATTTTTTTTTTAATATATTTTGTTTTTATTATTTTCTTATAATAACGTTAATAAATAATTATTGTTCTGCAATATATCTTAACTAATTAAAAATTTAATCTAACATATAAACTAATTAATAAAACACTATTCTAATGCTGGCATCATATCAGCAAAATATTCAAAAGTCTTTGGTTTCCGATGTCGGGGTTCCATGGACAATGATCGTGAGGATTTTTCTTTTGGCGTGGACAAACTTTCACTCAAAGTTGTGGTTTCTGTTATGGTTTGATCGATTTCTGATTCTGAATTATTTTCGTCAAGGTTGAGGATAGATTGCGTTGTTGTGTCAGTGGGATTTGTGGTGATTTCAGTAGAATTTTGTTTCTCATTTGTTGTTATTAATTCGGTGGTGAAATGTTCATTTATGTCCGTTGTAGAGAAATCAATAACGGAATCTGTTGTGCTCTCATAAAATGTTGGCTGTTGTGTGGTTTGCTCTTCATTTGTTGCCGTTGTAGATTTTTCGATCAGGGAAGTTGTTGTTGATTCAGAGAGCGTCTGCTCTGTGGAGATATCTTCATTAATATCCGTTGTAGAAATAAAGGAGGATGATGTGCTCTCAGTGATTTCTTCTTTTTGATGCATGTCGTTTTCAGTTATTGAATTCGTTGAACTTTCTGAAAGAGTCATCTCTGTGGTGAGATCTATATTTATATTTGTTGTTGATATATCGACAATGGAGAATGGTGTACTCTCAGTAAATATTTTTTCTGTGCTGAAATCGTAATTTATGTTCGTTGCTGCACTGTCAACTACGGAATTGGTTGTGCTCTCAATAATATCGCTTGTTGATGTCTCAGGTTGTGTTTCCTCTGTGGTGAGATCTTCGTTCATTTCCGTTGTAGATATATCGACAATGGAGGCGGTTGTGCTTTCAGTTGTTGTCTCTTTTGTGCTGAAATTGTTATTTATGTCCATTGCTGAATTGTTATTGAGTGAATTATTTGAGACCTCAACTTGGGTTGCCTCTGTGGTGAAATCTTTGTTATTTGCCGTTGTAGTATGATCGATGCTCGGTATTGTTGTGATCTCAGTGATTATTTCTTCTGTGGTATTATCTTCATTCAATGGAATTTCCGTCTCTGTAAGTTTTTCTGTTGTAGAATATTCTAAAGATTCGGTGGTGAGTTCATCTGAATCTTCGATGGGACGTCCAGTAGTAGTATTTTCTGAAGACTCTGTTGTTGTTGAAAATATATTCTGGGGATTTTGGGTGGTAGTATATTGAGCTTCAGTTTGTGGCTCCGATTCGGTGGTTACTTCTAAGTCCAATGATTCTTGTGTTCCGCTTTCTGTCGTATAATCGTTTGTTGACTCAGTGGCTTCATCAACATTTATTGATGCAGTTTTCACAGTTGTAGACTCCAGAGCTTCTGTAGTGGATGTAATCTCTGAAAACCGTTCGGGTGTCCCTGTGGTTTCATCTTGAGAATTTTCTATCGACGTTTTTATGGTAGTGGTTTCCTGAAATCCCACGTTCTCAGTAAAATTCTCCGTCAAGGGATATGTGTGCGTGGTCTCTTCTGTATTATTTTCTGTGGTTGAATCCGAAGATACGTGAGAAGTGGTAAATTCCGTTGCCAGATTTGAATCCGTCGTCTCATAAACAGAATTTTCTGTTGACATTGATTCAGTGGTAAAATCCGTGGTTGAATCTGGAGATACGTGAGAAGTGGTAAATTCCGTTGCGATATTTGAATCCGTCGTCTCATCAACAGAATTTTCTGTAGACGTTGATTCAGTGGTCAAATAAAAATCGTCTTTTTCTGTGGTCCCAACATCATGATCCAAAATAGGTATTGTTTCTGAAATCGTCGTAACTTTTTCAGGAGTATATGTTGTTGTTGGCACTTCTTTGTAGGTTGCTGTTGTGACATCGAACTCGGTGGTCGTAACAAAATTCATTTCGGTTGTGAAGATGGTTAAATCTTTTGGGGTTGTGGAATCGAAAAGATAGTTTGTAGAGGAACCTGTTTCGGTTGTGGAATCAAATTCATCGATGGTGATACTACCACTTGTATATGTAGTGGTTTCCAGTATTTGTCCTTCTGTAGAGGAACTATCAGGAGTTGAAGAGTAATCGTAGGCCCCATTGTCCGAATTTTTCTCTGTTGTTAGATTTTCCTCCCACCAAGAAGTGTTGGATGTTGTTAAGGTCTCTAATCCATTTGTGGTTGTTTCAATCAAACGTTCGGTTGTTTGGTCTCTATTCGGAATAGTGGAGTCCTCAATTGCAATTTCGTTGGTGGTATTCTCTTCATTTATTTCTGAGGACGTATAAATACTTTCCGTAGTTGTCTCTGTGTTTAGACCTGACAATGGAACCATGGTGGTGGTATCTATTCTTGAACTATTTATAGCTGCATTTTTATGCAAGTCTGAAGAGCTGGAAGGATCCACGTCTGTTGAATTTTCGTAATGGCTCGTTGTGGTTTCAATGAATGCTTCTGTTGTGGATTCCTGTGATATCGCATCAGAAGTATGTTCCGAAATAGGAATTATTGTTGAGTTCTCTTGATCCGCATTACTCACTTCCGTAACCACACTGGAAGCCGTTGATTGTAATGACCCATTTGGCCCCTCTGTTGTTGGTTTCATATTGAACCACTTTATCGAATCCAATATGTTACCAACATAATCTTTACCATATACAGGAATTGTTGGCTTGAAATCTGCCACATATGGACGATAGACTTTGTAATTAAATGGTTTACGATTTCGAATGTAGTTTTCAGCCAATTGAATATATTCTTCTCTGGATTTGAAAACATCAAAATTGGATTTCGGTACTGCGGGCACGCTCAATATTTGTCTCAAGGACATTTTATCCTTTGACGTTTTATTTTTGAACTCCAAATTGCTTCGCGGTAAAAAGGCGGCCCTGCTGTCATAATACAAAGAGTTAATTACAAAAATTATTAAGAACAACTTAGAGGACATCATTATGACAACGATGTTTAATGATGACTGTTGAGGTTTCCTGCAACGGACATCATCTTAAATAGTTCGATAAGAGGCTGGCTGTGAAAAATTCTAAGTAATGACTGGTTTACCTGTCGGCCAAAATAATAAGCCTACTTATAGTCATATTTATGGTTGTGATTTTTCAATTTCGTCCTCGCCACCAACGCCATAAAAAAGGGGTTTTTCTTTGTCAGTTATTAGTCCCAACTAAGAGATTACATGAGTCGTGCAAACTACCTGCCTTTGCACAGAACGAAACACTTGGACAATTGCCAAGGTCTACAGGTAGTGATCCTTTTGTGGTATTATAAAGGTGTGTCTATTTTGGATTTTACTAATGAGCCAGAAATCCATATTCCATGCATCTTTTGTTCTCATAAGAAATCACTAGGTGGGTTTTGCAATTTGTATTAGGAAACTCCAACAGATCCATTATACGAATGTGAGAATTTCCAAAGAGCAAAACAAAACGATTGGAATACTTTTGTGTAATATTTTGCAATTGGCATTGAAATGTGAAATGACACGTAGCCCTAAAGCAACGAATTGAATATGTGTATTGTTTTGAAGAGTCGAAAGAGTGATTTGAGTTTCGTTTTTTGTAAGCATGGAACCAATTTTGTTATTTTTATGTTTGATATGTTTTTTTGACGATGGTAATCCAGGATTTTTAGAAAACAAAAGAAGGACAAATATTATTATTTTTTAGAATCGAAGAACATTTTTCAAAAGAAAACACAACAAAAGAGTCGATTAGGGATTCATTTGTGTAAATAAAAAATCATTGGGGATAATTTTCTACTGTGAGAGGTCCTACATATACAGGGTGCCAGTGGGAGTTATATATTTTTATAGAAGGGTGTAAGATTTCTTAGCTATAGAAGACATTTCAAGAGTTTAAAATACTGGACCAAATAACTACTACCTCGTTAGCAGAAATTAACAACACCGTGCAGATGTAATTCGAAATTCGAAACATTTTATTTGTAATTCGTTCCATTTCTTTTGTAATTCGAGAATTCAATTTGTAATTCAAAAATTTTCAATTAATCGAAAATTTTCAATTGAGTTTGAGAATTTTATTTGTTGTTCATAAAATTCGATTTTAATTTCGAAATGTTTCATTTGAAATTTATTTGATTTAATTGATTTAATTTACTTATAATTCGAACACATCTATTTGTAATGCAAAGCAAATAAAAAGCCAATGAAAAAATGTTTGCGATTTTTATACCCTACACCACTTAGTGGTATGGGCATTATGTCTTTGTTCATTTGTTTGTAACATGGAGAAAGAAGCGAGATAGACACATAGTTACTTTTGAGGATCTTCATAGAATTACTTTCTAAGTAGATTTATGTATGTCAGTCCCTCCGTCCGTATTCACATCGATTTCGGGTTAATTGTGCACCAAATGGCTAATATAAGCCCAAATAACCTGTATTTTGGTACATCCCACCGAAATGAGTCTAGAGGCAAGTAAATCAAATTTGGAGAAAATAGGCTCATCCGATTTGGGGCTTTAAGTCCCTCACATACGTAATATGTGCTCCAGAAGAATGATATTTGGTACCCAACATCAGATACTTCTTGAAAAAACCTCTGTCAAATTTTATCGAAATCGGTTCAGATTAGGATATAGCTCCCATATATATCATTATCCGAATAAACCTGATTATTGTATTAAATACAGCTCTAAAATAGAATTTTTCAAAATCCGTTCAGATTTGAATATAGCTCCCATATATATTATCAACCGATTTTGGGTTAATGTGCACCAATTAGACAATATAAGTCCAAAAGTCCTGAATTTTGGTACGTCCGACTGAATTCAGTCTAGGAGCAAGTTATTCGCATTCGGAGAAAATCGGCTCAGATATAGCTATAGCTCCCATACATATGTTTCATACGATTTGGTGTTTAAGTCCCTCACATTCGTAATATGCATTCGACAACAATGATATTTGGTACCAGATATCTTATAAAGCTCGGAAATACTTTTGCCAAATTTTATCGAGAACGGCTAAGATTTGGTGATATCATCATTTAATTCCGTTATAGAAATATCGGCAATGGAGGCTGATGTGCTCTCAGTCGGTGACTCTTCTGTGCTAAAATCTTGATTATTGTCAATTGTTAATTTGCTAGAGAGGGTTGCCTCTGAGACGAGAACTTTATTCGTTGTTGAAATATGAAAATCGGCGATAGTGTCTTTTGTGGTAAAACCATTATATATGTCTGAGGCAAGTTCCCCCATCTTCCACACTTTTGCAAACTCATGGATTAGGATTCCTCAGAATTCGTGCATTTTAAGTATATAGTGTCTTCGACAATATTACAAACAAAAATATTAGGTAGCTTTGGTTGTTGGGTCTTTTTGGTAAATTGAACCATGGTACATTAAGGAGGTAGAACAGCTCTGTAAAACTACAGAAATACAGCCCTGAGGCTATGCCCGCTTTCTGTCAGACTCATTCAAAATTATATGCAACGAGTTGTTTTCATTTATTTCATATTTTTCTTCGATTTTAAAATGAGTTAAATAGCGCGAAAAACGAATGAAATGCCTGGATTTTCGCTCAAAAAAATGATTAAAACTGTTCAATCTCTCAATTTCATGGCTGAAATGGTTAATAGTTTTAATGCGCAAGCCGCAATCTGCGTGTCTTCCAATCATTGGTTTTCAAAATATTTTGTTCTCATTTTTCAAAACAATCAATACATACACAAAATTGGCAGAAGTCGGACACACTTAGAAAAAAAATTGTAGTCAGCTGGTAGCTCTACCTTACCTTTTTATTGCACCATGAATTGAACTGTAATTATTTTTTACACTCTACAACACGTTGTGTTGAGGTTTTTATACCCTACAACACTATGTGTTGGGGGTGTTATAAGTTTGATTGGGCCAGAATTTATGTAACACCTCGAAATATTGATTTCCCATATAGGAAAGTATATATGGATCTTCCTAGCTCGCCGAGCTGAGTCGATCTAGCTATGTATGTCCGTCCGTCCGTCCGTCTGTCCGTCTGTCCATGTTAATTTGTAATCACTCTACAGGTCGCAATTACGGCCCGATCTTCACGAAATTTAGAATGTAGGTGGGGCTTGGACCAGAATAGAACCCTATTTCTTTTGGAGATGATCGCCAAATGTTTAGGGGTTGAAATGGACCAAATACTGAAAAAATGTCGAATTTTGCAGAAGCTATACAGGTCGCAATTATATACCAAACGACGCGGAATTGCGCATGTAGCTAGAGTTTAGGGCGGGGAAGAAGCCTACCAATTTGGGTGGTCATCGTATAATATTTAGCGGGTAAAATAGACCATATCTTTTGTGTTGAAAAAATTCAAAATTTTTCATTAAACCTCGAATGTTTTAAATCCCGGCGAAATCAAAAGCCATGACAAGGTTACTTCTGATCTTTACATTGATGTTAACATCCATCAAATCGGATATATAGCAAAATATGTGCAATATATATGTCTATTAAGGAAGATATGCTTGAAAGATCTCTTATATGTCGAGAACGGCTGAACTGATTTCGACAGTTCTCATTAATTCAGAATGGCGTCTTGGCAGGAAAGAAAAAACGTCTAAAAAAATCGCGTAAAAATATCTCTCTAAAAATTAAAATGTTGATTTTGTAAAATTTTCTCATATTTTTTCAATTTTGTCATATTTTTGGCATATTTTAATTTTGAATTAAACATTTGGTAATATTTCTACAGCTAACAAAACTAAGTAGTTGGGATATCAGGATATTATATACAGATCGCATTTATGGCCCGATCCTTACGAAATTTTGCATGGGGATAAGATGAGGGTCAGAATAGGAGCCTACTCTTTTTGGAGATGATCGCCATATATTTAGGGGTTGAAACAGACCAAAAAACTGCAAAATTGTCAGCAGGTCGTAATTATCGCCCGATCCTCACGCACATTTGAATGGGGGTTACCGGACATTGCAAAAGCCAAGCAGTTTCTAATGGCCATCCAAAAATATTCAATGTGTGAAATAGTTTGCCAACTTTTGTAGACAAAATACGAAAATGTCCATTCCAGAGACTTTTTGGAGAATTCACAAATACAGGAAAGACGCCCTTCTGACTATTTCGTTGAAGAATATAGTCAAATGTCTGTATCTCATATAGATGCGTTTCAGTCAAAAACCAATAATAAATGTTAATCTTTTGCCACTTCTGAGAGATTATAGGTCTTTGGGAAATATTGGTTCCAGATCTAGGAAGACCAACATCTACCAATAAATTGGAAATGAGCAAATTAGTTAAAGTTGCTATTATTCGAAAATTAGAGAACGAAACCTGATGGTTTTCTTTTATTATTTGTCACAATATCTTGTGGAATTCTTTCGAGTACTTCGCCTATATAAACTGTATGGTTTATTATAGTGTTGTAGGGTATTCAACGGTCGGCCCCGCTCGACTGTAGCCTTTGCTTACTTGTTATATATAGGTTATTATAGATAGGTAGGACCAAAAATTTTTCTAATTTTGCAGTCGGTCACAATTGAAAACCAATTGACACGGAATATTCCACGAGGAACGAGTTAAGGACAGAGCAGAAGTCTAGAATTTTGGATGACCATTGGATTATATATACCAGGTAAAATGGACCACAACTTTCGTGTGAATCTTAATCTAATACAGACAAAAATAATGGTGTAGGCAAAATTGCAAGAAAATCAAACATTTATATCCAATTTTATGTGAAATCATTAATTCCATCTTCATCTCATGTTTCTGGTTGAGACAAATATTTAGATAAAGCAAGTTGTAAACAATCGCTGACTTCTTTCGCAGGTTATAACAGATAAAGTTATTGACAATTGTGATACTTTGTGAGGGAGGTATCAGAAGGAATGGTCCGATCTCCACCATTTTTACAACATATTTTGTGTTGATGGAAATATTGAGATGTGTCAAGTCTGAATGAAATCTGATGTTAATTTTGCGTTTTATGAGCTTCATGAATATTCAAAATTTTGACCCTTTGTGGGGGCGGTACCAGAAGGAGTGGACCGATATATTCCATCTTCACGCCAGTCCTTGGTTTAATAAAACTATTGTGATTTGTTTGTAATTTGAAGACAATCGTACACTTAAATCACATTTAATAAGAGTTATAATTATTCAAAATGTTGACCCTTTGTGGGGGAAGTACCTGATGGAGTGGACCTGTATTGTCAATTTTCGCACCTGAACTAGCACTGATGCAAATATTAGGATTTGCAAAGATGGAACAACAACGGATTATCCTTTGTCTTTCTGTGCAGTAAATTGTTTTATTTGGAAATGTTAACATTTTTTGGGAGAGGGATAATATTACGATGTACCAAATTTGGATCAAATCGGATACTCTCTTCGACTCCAAATGTCCTGAAACGGATTTGAGGCAATGATACCTAGAGTGTAAAACCGATTTGGCCGTATCAAATGATATATACCCTCTCTAGCCGTATGGATGAGGGTATAAAAACGAAAGGCATGGACTTTTTTTAAAGATTTATCCTAAATTTTTCTAAAGATGTTTTCTACGCTTCTACAAGCTCCGAAGGCGTGGAAGTTTTAAAGATTTTTTCTAGACTCCCACAACTACAAGGTCCGATTCATTTTGAGTTTGTGCGAAATCTCCAACAAAGCATTTTTTAGAAGGATAATATCAAAGGCAAAAATATTCTTCATCAAATTCCACTATAATTAACCAAATAATCTCTATTTCTTCTCTGTTTTGGATATACAACCAAAAGATATTAGCATCAACGTTCCCAAATAAACTCAAAAATATCAAAATTATTCCCTAATTTTTGGATCAATTTTTCTCGGACTTTTATCGAAATAAATGTAAAATAAAATTTAAGAAAAAAAAAAAAGGAATTGTGTATTTCTGGAAAATTTAGCATTTTCCCCAATTCGCTGCAAATTTTTTTATTAATTTACTGAACAATAGACAGTCTGGATTGTGGAAAATGCAAAGTAGTGGTAGTAGATAGTATTTGCTTTTAGATCAAAGCCAATCAGGAGTTAAATCAAATGTTCTTAAGGCCTTCAATAAAAGTCATTTAATAATATAAAATGCATAGTACGGGCACAAACCTTTATGGAAATTTCGCGCCAACACTATGCCATTTCTTCATTTTTAAACCGCTTTACAACACTGTCTTTACACTGAACATACTTCATCGGCCGGCACTGAAAGTTTGACATTTGGTGAGAGTGTAAACGACTTGTGTTTATGTGAAGCATTTTATTCTGCTGGCCAATTGTGTTGCTGCTTGATTTAATTTTTAATAAATAATAAAAAGGAAGTCTAAAATACATAATAAAAGTTAGAGGTAAATAAACATCACATCATTTGTTTTCGACAAAGTTTTGATTATTGTGGAGTTGTTATTCCAACTCGTACGACCATCTGTATCCAATTTCGGTAAACGTTTGCTAAATAACACTGTCCACGCTTTTCATTTTCGCAGGCACATTGAAGAGACACCACAATGGATTCGGATCTTTATGATGAGTTTGGTAATTACATTGGTCCCGACTTGGACAGTGACGAGGATGATGACCAAAGTATTTATGGTCAGCAGGATAATCAAGATGAACGTGATGTAAGTTTATCTTTTCCAAATGTGAGTGAAATTTCAACAATTGTTTCTCGTAGGATGAGGCCATGGAAGAGGAGGAAGATCAAAACGAAGATGAAGACAAAGAGGTTACAGCAGTTGTCTTGCATGAGGATAAACGTTATTATCCCACAGCAGTTGAGGTCTATGGTCCCGATGTTGAGACAATAGTCCAGGAGGAAGATGCCCAGCCATTGGATAAACCTCTCATCGAACCTGTCAAGAAGTTAAAATTTCAAATTAAAGAACAAGAATTACCCGATACTACCTATAATATGGAATTCATGGCTGATTTAATGGACACACCACCGCTCATACGTAATGTGGCTTTAATTGGTCATTTACATCATGGCAAAACCACCTTTGTTGATTGTCTTATACGTCAGACACATCCACAATTTGATTTGAATGAAGAACGTTCGCTACGTTACACGGATACACTTTTCACGGAACAAGAACGTGGTGTTAGTATTAAAGCCACTCCGGTCACTGTTGTCTTGCAGGATGTTAAAACGAAGAGTTATTTAATGAATATTTTCGATACGCCTGGACATGTAAACTTTTCCGATGAAATTACGGCCGCCATGCGCTTATGTGATGGTGTTGTTGTCTTCGTTGATGCTGCCGAAGGTGTTATGCTTAACACTGAAAGGCTGCTGAAACATGCAGTGCAAGAGAAAATGGCCATAACAGTTTGCATTAATAAGGTAAGAACATTTTAAAAGTGTATTTACAAATATTGAACAATTATTGGCGACGTAAGAGCACATTTACCCAATTAAATGTCAACATTCCCATATATGGTTAGTTATTCTGAAAGTAAACAATTCCCTTTCAAAATATGTTTTTCCTGACGTGAACGTTCTTCTTCAATTCCGTTCAGTGGGAAAAGCAATACGCTTATGCCCAAATGTCTAATGCTAATTTCTTCCTTGAACAGGCCAGGAAGTAGTGAGTCAATCATGTGTGTTGCTGATGTACAAATTTATATTTACTTTAGTTATAATTAGTTTATTCTAGCTAATCAAAATATATCTAATAAAATCATTTTCATTGCAGATTGATCGTCTGATTTTGGAATTGAAATTACCTCCTCAAGATGCATATTTCAAATTGAAACACATTGTGGAAGAAGTCAATAGTTTGCTGAGTACATACGGTAATGCTGAAGAAACTCAACTGGTATCACCCGTATTGGGTAATGTTTGTTTTGCCAGTTCCCTTTATGGCATATGTTTCACATTGAAATCTTTTGCCAAACTATATGCTGATACCTATGAAGGTGTTAATTATGTGGAATTCTCAAAACGATTGTGGGGCGATATGTATTTCCACAGCAAATCGTGAGTTTAAAGAAATTTAGACTATTTATTAAAAAAAAATAATATTTTGGCATATTGTTGCAGACGTAAATTCACCAAAAAGCCGCCACACAATTCAGCACAACGTAGTTTTGTTGAATTCATCTTGGAGCCAATGTATAAACTAATTGCCCAGGTTGTGGGAGATGTTGACTCCACACTGTCGGATACATTGGCTGAATTGAACATACGTATAACCAAGGAAGAGATGAAATCGAATATAAGACCTCTATTGCGTTTGGTGTGCAATCGATTCCTTGGAGATTTTAGCGGTTTTGTCAGTATGTGTGTGGAGCACATACCATCTCCATTGGATAATGCTAAGCGCAAGGTAGACCATGTCTACACTGGTCCAAAGGAGGGAGACATGTATCGTGACATGATTCAATGTAATCAAACCGGTTCCCTTTTGGTGCACAGTGCCAAAATGTATCCAACCGATGATTGTACATTCTTCCAGGTGAGTTGTTCGGCACAAAACTGATGTTAAGAATAATTGTGGCAAAATATTGAATTTTAACAAATTAGGTTTAATTGAGGCTTCAGTGAAATAAACTTATCTTAAATTCCATTTCTCTTAGGTCATGGCTCGGGTAATTTCCGGTACCTTACATGCCGGACAAGAAGTACGAGTGCTGGGTGAAAATTATACTCTACAAGATGAAGAAGATTCTCGAGTTTTGCAAGTTGGACGGCTATGGGTATACGAAGCACGCTACAAAGTAGAACTTAATCGTGTTCCCGCCGGTAACTGGGTTCTAATTGAGGGTATCGATCAAAGCATTGTAAAAACTTCAACAATTGTCGATATTAATGCAGCCGATGATTTGTACATTTTCCGGCCATTGAAATTTAATACTCAAAGTATTATAAAAATTGCCGTGGAACCTGTAAATCCCTCAGAATTACCCAAAATGTTAGATGGTCTGCGTAAAGTCAATAAATCGTATCCTCTACTTTCAACGCGTGTCGAAGAATCAGGAGAACATGTTATCTTGGGTACTGGCGAATTGTATTTGGATTGTGTTATGCATGATCTACGTAAAATGTATTCGGAAATTGATATAAAAGTTGCCGATCCAGTTGTGGCATTTTGTGAGACAGTTGTTGAGACGAGTTCACTGAAATGTTTTGCCGAAACGCCAAATAAGAAAAATAAAATTACCATGATCGCGGAACCTTTAGAAAAGGGTTTGGCAGAAGACATAGAGAACGAGGTGGTCTCAATCAATTGGAACAAAAAACGTATTGGAGAATTTTTCCAAGTGAACTATGATTGGGATTTGTTGGCGGCACGTTCCATATGGGCGTTTGGTCCAGATTCAACAGGTCCAAATATTTTAGTTGACGATACATTGCCCTCTGAGGTGGACAAGACACTGTTAACATCCGTTAAGGATTCCATAGTTCAAGGTTTCCAATGGGGTACAAGGGAAGGACCACTTTGTGAGGAGCCCATACGCAATGTGAAATTTAAAATTCTTGACGCGGTTATTGCAAATGAAGCTTTACATCGGGGTGGTGGACAGGTCATCCCTACAGCCAGAAGAGTAGCATATTCGGCATTCCTTATGGCCACACCCAGATTAATGGAACCGTATTTGTTTGTAGAGGTACAAGCACCGGCAGATTGCGTTTCAGCCGTATATACGGTTTTGGCTAGAAGAAGGTGACAACTAATTTACCTATGAAAACAATCATTTATTAATTACATTGTTTTTGCAATTTACAGAGGTCACGTTACTCAAGATGCCCCCGTTTCTGGTTCTCCACTTTACACAATTAAAGCCTTCATTCCCGCCATTGATTCATTTGGTTTTGAAACGGATTTACGTACTCACACACAAGGTCAAGCTTTTTGTCTTTCAGTCTTCCATCATTGGCAAATTGTTCCTGGTGATCCATTGGATAAATCCATTGTTATACGACCATTGGAACCCCAGCAGGCATCACATTTGGCACGTGAATTTATGATTAAAACAAGACGACGTAAGGGTCTGTCCGAAGATGTATCGATCAATAAATTCTTCGACGATCCTATGTTATTGGAGCTGGCTCGACAGGATGTATTGCTCAATTACCCACTGTAAAATGAAATATTTTAGATCTTAAAATAAAAAAATCCCTTTCGGAACCCCCTTTTTTCAGGAAATGTTGTTTTGGATTAAGAATTGTGTTTTATTGAAGCGATTGTTTAAGAACCGTGGCATAGTATTGGTAGTAACTTTTATTTCAATTGTTGCTTAACTAAGTCGTGAAACAAAAATAATGCATACATATATGTAGCCATATGGAATCTATATTTTTATCTGATCCGATAAAGATCAGGGCTCGTCCTTGTGTCTAACAAATAATCGGCTGTCACCTCCGTGTATTCATGTTTGTGTTCTATATATTTCTGCTTTGTGAGCAGCTGCCCGATTTCTTTTGGTCCGTCCCGGGATCGAAAAGGGCACTAGAGGGTTTTAAACGCCCATCATAAGTTGTGGCATTCCATCCTAGGTAATTACCAGAGGGGATAAGCGCTGGCAGAGCAGATTGTCTGCTACACGTTCATTACGGCAAAAAAGGGTACTCCCACCCAAATACGAGGAATGTGTCACAGTTCATCAGATATAACTATAATGTCGCTCGGTCTGACGTCGCCCTAAAGGACGTGACTTGGAAACCCATCACGTCACATCGATCAGACCATCTCCCGAGACATTAACAAAGCTACAGCCGCTGGCTATGTACCTACTGGTCGAATACCCAAAAGAAGACCGAATGAGCGTGCAGTCAGTGGTGACAATCCATGCGAGGAATATGAAAACAGAACTCCTCTACCTTGAAGGGAGACCTGCACGATCTAGAGGAAAAGTCCTAACAGGCATGTCTGAATAGCGTTCATATTGATGTAGTCAACCACTAAAGTATGGATTCCATCCTCAAAGTTCTCATCTCATCCATTGCAGCTGAACGTCGTCTGCCTAAACAAATCAGAGTAGTTTTGGCTCAACTACGTTCGGAATGGTGCAGCCGTCTCAATTGGGCGAGAATTGATGAATGTGTGAGGGACGTCTGTCCATCGTGTAATTCATCCTGTATTACATCGGTTGTATCCTTTTTGACAAGGCAAAGTAGCGAATGCTTTAAATTTGGTTGCATCAGGATTTTATTAGCAGACTTAAAACATCGATCATATATTACGGCTACAGAAAAAGGCCTATCTCGTTGCCAATGGCAAGTGGCAAACAAATCCTGTACTACAGTGGCTGAAATTTTGGACAAATCATTTGTTTGGTCCAAGGACAAGCCTATTGGAATTTGTGATAATCTGTCAACGCTTCTCCCATATTTAACTTCGTCCGATTTTTATTTTTTATTGTACACAAATGTGTAATACTAGCCCAAATATCCGACCAATGCTGATATGTCAAATTTGGTGAAAGTTAGACATAGCTATAGGTCCCACAGCTTTAAAATAAACTCCATATCAACGAAAGTCGAGAAAAATATCAGATACAGCCCAGAAATATCTCTCTCAAATTTTATCAAGATCTGTTCATAATTGGATATGGCTTCCAAGCCTATATTTATCCGATTTATGGTTTACTGTGCACCAAATGGTTAATGTCAGCAAAAAAGGTGTGGATTTTGGCACGTACGACCGAATTCAGCCTAGAAGCAAGTACTTCATAGTTGGTGAAAGACGGTTAAGATGTGGCTATAGCCCCCATATACATATATGTTTCATCCGATTTGGTGTTTAAGTCCCTCGCAATTTTGTAATATGCACTCTATAACAATGATAATTGGTATAATATATCAGATTTAGCTCAGATTTGGATTTATCTCCGATATATATCTTCATCCGATTTCACGGTAATTGTGCGGCAAATATGTATTATAAGTCCAAATTGAATGGATTTTTGCACATTTAACCCAATTTTACCATTTGGTGAGACTCGGTTCCCATATATCTATTGCTCCGATATATGTTTTAATATGATCCTTCTCGAAGTCATATGATACACTCTAGAGCAATGTTCTTTGGTAGGAGAGGTAAAAATGCCTCCGTCAAATTTGGTGGAAATCGAATCTGATTCAAAATTATAATTGTTCTAAAGCCATATGTTTATTTGTTACGGGTAGCTCTACTAAACATGCATAGTGGTGTAGGGCATATTATTGTTGACTTGCCCTTGACCCTTCTTTACGGCTTTAAAAATGTAAAACAATGACCCTTTTCTTGATATGAAAAAATCATGCTCGAATAATGCGAACGTCTCTGTCTAGTCTCTGATTGGATCAAAATTTGCTCATCTTAAACAATTCTTGTACAATGATCGTGTATTTTTAAAAAAAACTTCCAGGGCAAGGATTGTACATTTTTTTAAAAAACAATATTTTTAGGACTTTTTTTCCACGAATCGTGAATTTAAAAAAAATATTTTTAAGCACCCCCGGCAATATATTTATAAGAAAAGGTTTTTAAGGTCCTCCGAACCAAGTACTACAGATTTTTCTAATTTTCTTGGCAAAAACAAGGGATTTCTACAATGATGGCAAAAAATAATGGATTTTTATTTTTTGTGAGGCATCATACCAAAAAATTGTGAATTTTGTAAGAATATTTTTAAGGGCATGGTATTTTTAAATACATTCTTAGCTAATAAAAAACAGGCATTTTTAATTTAATGGAATATCCTGTCAAATATCGTGCACATTGTAAGAATATCCACTGTCATTTGTATTTTGACAATATGCACGAAAGTATGTAAAAATGTACGAAATTTTAAGACGTAATTTATCTAATCTGTTAAAAATATATATTTGTTTCGACGATATAAATGTTGGTCTGTACAAAACGATTTAAATCATTGTGGAAAAACGTACATTTTAATAGCATATTGCGATATGTACAAAGACGAGTAGGAAATTTACGAATGTAGCAAACATTATTTGAAGCACTGTGTTGAATTCAATATTCGAAAACTCACACATCAATTAATAACTTCTCATTAAGAATATATTGAATACTTACCTACAATGCATTGGTATTTATTTAACATTTTGTTTTTTTTTTCCTGACATTTAACACCGAAACCTACAATCTGCTAACAAAGCCATTGTGCACAACTCATTGTAGAGAGTGTTACACAATGTGGTCATAGCTGCAATTAACAATCACTACGAAAAATACACCTTCTGTGTCCGTGATACACAAATCTACACACGCAGATTCCGCGAACCCAGTGAAAAATTTGACGAAATAACTTTATTTTGAGTGGTCAAATTTGCAAATAAGTTTTAAACATATAAAGGTAGCTGATCAAGCAAAGTTGTGATTAGTCACAGAAAATGGAAACTGAATGAAAGGTCAAAATTAGATAGAGTAGATTTTGTCGATGCATTCGTTGCAATAAGCATTTTGAAAACACCCGAATTTGAATATTTTCTGAACAATTTTTTTATTATTGAAAAGAAGAAACACACATAAGCAAATGAAGTTGACATATTAAGCCAGAAAAATAAAAAAAATTAAATCATATGGTAGTTCTGCCCTACCTTGAATTCATTGTACCATGCCATAACCCTTCTTTTTTTAAGGAATTTGTACTCAAGGATTCTACATTCTTTAATTTTTTAACGAATCTTAAATAAAGAGCTATCAAATCTATCAACAATCTAACATAATCAAAAACATAAGAAACAATCGAAGATTCTTTAATATATTTTCAAGAATTTGTTTAGTGGATTTTCCTAGAAATATTCTTTAATATTAACCAAGATTATAATTTTTAAGAATATTTATACCCTACAACACTATGTGTTGGGGGTATTATAAGTTTGATTGGGCCAAAAATTATGTAACACACGAAATATTGGTTTCGCACATAGGAAAGTATATATGGATCTTTCTATGTATGTCCGTCCGTCCGTATGTCCATGTTAATTTTTAATCACTCTACAGGTCGCAATTATCGCTCGATCTTCACGAAATTGAAAATGGAGGTGGGGTTAAGGTCAGAATAGAACCCTATTTCTTTTGGAGATGATCGCATAATATTTAGGGGTTGAAATGGACCAAAAACTGAAAAAATTCCTGATTTTGCAGTTGCTCTACAGGTCGCAATTATAGACCAATCAAAGCGGAAGTTAGCATGGGGCTAGAGCTTAGGGCTGGGCAGAAGCCTTCCAATTTTGATGGTCATCGGGTAATATTTAGTGGGTGAAATAGGCCACAACATTTGTGTAAAATAAAAGTTGAATTTTCGATTAAACTGTGAATATTTTTAATCCCGGCGAAATCACAAATAAACGAACAGGTCAATTCTGACCGTTATGTAGATGCCGATAGTAAATATATCGGTTATATATGGCGAAATATATACAATGTGTATATACCAAAGAAGGGGATGTTAGTTAGAATGCTTATATCTCAAGAATGGCTGGAGCGATTTAGACAAATTTTGTCAATTCAGAATGCCCTCTTGACATAAAAGTATAAAATCTAAAAAAATCGCAGAAAAATATACCAATAATGATGTTTATTTAGATTTTGTAGTATTTTGTGACATTTTTTTATATTTTCATATTTTTTATCGCATGCGATTTTTTTAATTTGACTCATAATATTTTGAACAACACAGGTTGGGGATATTATATAAGTATAGGAAATATCGTCCGATTCTCACGAAAATTTTCACAAGGGTAGGGTTGGACTCAGAAGGGCTAGGCCTATTGTTTTCAAAGATGTCCGCAATATATTAGGGGTTGCAATGGACCAACAACTAAAAATTTTCCTGATTTTGCAGCCGTTATAAAGGTCACAAATAGAAACAAGAGGACACGAAATCTCGCATAAAGTTAGAGTTGAGGACAACGGGTACAATGGACCACTAATTTTGTGTGAAAAAATACCAGCATTACTTACAGGTGATAACCGAAATACACAAAAGGCGAACTTCTGGCTTTTTTATGCTGATTTCGTTGACGAATATCGCCAAATATCGTAGAGAAGCAAATCATATAGATGAGTCTAAATCTGGAGATACAGAGGGGCCTCTAGATTTTGGAGATGATCGCAAAATATTTAGGGGTTCAAATTAACCAAAAACAGAAATGTTTTTACGATCACACAATTGAAGCCAATCGGCACGCCTGTGAAGAGAGTTAAGGACAGGGAAGAATTCTAGCATTTTGGATGACTATTGGATTATATTTAGCTGTAAAATGGACTACAACAACTAACATCCTGACGGAGTGCAGAAATATTGGGCAAATGTCCCTAGTCAAAATCCTAGTTTCAAAAGCGAAATCTTCCAATATGGATTTGGACATATGGGGCTTCTAACATGTTGTAGTGTTGTAGGGTATAACATAGTCGGCCCCGCACGACTATAGCCTTTGCATACTTGTTTTCAAATACTATCAATTTTTTCAAAAGGACTGTACTCATTATAATCGTATAATTTTCTTAAATATTTTTTCAAGAATTACAAAGTATATTTCCTGAACAAATGTTGGAAGTACTTACCATTGAATTTCAAAGACTGTCAAAGCATTAAACATGGGTTTTTAAAGAACATTTTGAGGGGAGATCAAAACCTTAATCTGAATTAAACAATTTAAAGCGTATCAGTCGGTATTGTTGACATATTGATACCCTTAGCCTTTGTCCGTTTATTCAAATACATTTTGATATGTTTTATTATTTAAAATGTTCACCCTCTATAGGAGATCGATGGAGTAGAACAATATGACCATAGTCTGATATTATCATTGAAGGTGACAGCTTTGGATAATGTGTATATACTTTTTAACTCTTTGTGGGCGATATGAAAAAACTGCAAGCAACTTCAGACTGCTGCCATTCCCAAGCCACTCGTCCAGTGACAGCTCATTACATTGTTTACAAGCGTAAAAAAGCATTTTGGTGAGAATTTTCCCGGAAAAAAAGTTATTCGTTATGGAATTCAAGCGTGATAGTGTGATTTCTTTGTATTTGGCTGAAAAACCACAAGTGGCCATCGTTAGAGGACTCCAGCATTTAAATGTGAATAAATCTTTTATGTCTCGTACCATCGCTCGTTACCGTGATACTGGTAGCGTAGCCCAACGTCAAGGAAGTGGACGGAAGAAAACAGCAACATCAGCAGAAATGGTTCGAAAAGAAAAGAAGCGAATTGATCGAATTCCGGTCGCAGTTGCCGAAAAATGGCTCATAAGCTGAACATATCGCAATATTCCATTCGGCAAATATTGAAAAATGAGCTCGGGGTAAAGCCATTGAAATTCCAAAAAGTGCAAGAACTTACAGGGCAACAGATAGAAAATAGACTCAAAAGAGCTAAGGAGTTGCTTCGCTATGCCGAAAGTGGTAAAATACCGAATTTGGTTTTCTCCGATGAGAAACCTTTCGTTGTCCAGCAGTTTGTAAACAAACAAAATGATCGTTTTTAACTGCCAAAGAGATCAGCTGAAAATGTGTACCTTCGGTTAGCCACAAGAAGTTAAGCGCCGGCCATGGTATGGGCCGCCATAACAGCCGATGGTCGCTCTCCGCTTGTATTTATCGACCGTGGCATCAGAATAAATGCAAAATATTATCGCGAAAATATTCTGGAGGGTGTATTAAAGCCTTGGGCACGCAAACATTTTGGCCACAGAGTTTGGACGTTCCAACATCTCTCAGCACCATCGCACTCAACACGCGCCACCCAAGAATGGTTACAAAATGAGGTTCCTCGCTTCATTTCCAGCGCACAATGGCCACCAAAATCTCCGGATTCCAATCTCCGGACTATTGTGTCTGGAGTATTTTGGAAAGCAAGGTTGGCACTAAAAAATACCAAAGTGCCGATCACCTCAAGCAAGCGCTTTGCCGGGAATGGGCCAAAATACCGCAGAGCAACATTCGGGCGGCGTGTGACGGTTTCATTGACCATTTGAAGGCCATAATTCCTGCCAAAGGTGACCAATTCGAGCAAATCTAAACTTATTCCGGTTTGATCCCAACTTGGTACATCTTAAAATTGTTGTCAAACTTAGATCGAGTTCGGAGATGGGCATTATAGGTCCACTAACTCTGGTACATACCCCACAAAATGTCAACATTTTCAAAGCAAATAATTTCCTGCACAGAAAGAGAAAGAATAATCCGATTTTGTTCTAACTTTGCATAGGTCAGGTGAGAAAATGGACAATATCGGTTCTTTTCATCAAGTACCTCCCCCAAAAACGGTCAAAATTTGGAATAATTATAACTCTTATAAAATGTGATGTAAGGGACCGATTGTCTTCAAATTACACACATCACAATATTTTTACTAGTCCAAGGTCTGGCGTAACTATGGAATGTATCGATCCACTCCTTCTGGTACCTCCCCCGCAAAGGGTCATCAATTTGAATATTCATGAAGCTCATAAAACATGAAATTAACATCCGATTCCATTTGGACTTGGAACAACTCAATATTTCCATCAACGCAAGATCCTTTATTAAGATGGTAGAGCTCGGAGCATTCCTTCAGGGATCTCTCCCACAAAGGGTCAACATTTTGAATATTCATGAATCTCATAAAACACGAAATTAACATCCGATTCCACTCTGACTTGGCACATCTCAATATTTTCATCAACATACGATTTGTTATAAAAATGGTACAGATCGGACCATTCCTTCTGATACCTCCCCCACAAAGGGTCAATATTTTGGTAAAATTAATATCCGATTCTATTCAGACTTGACACAACTCAATATTTCCATCAACACAAGATCTGTTATAAAGATGATAGAGATTGGACCACTCCTTCTAAAGTCTTAATCGTGGATACTTAACAATGTTTTAGGGAAAATCAAAGCTTTTGTAGTGGATTTTTAAGATTACTTTTAAGAAACCATCAAAGCTTTAATCTTAGTTTCATTAAAAATATTCTTGCAGGAATTATGGTACCTTATGGTACGTTTTAAAAAATATTTTATTTATTTTATTATTTTTATTCAGGGTTGTTCAGCGACTCAAATGTGAATTATTTTAAATATTTTTGTCGAAGGCAATTAGAGAATTGAATTTCCATTTTCAATAAATATCCTTTGCTGGGTATAAAAAAAAAAACACACACCGGATTCATAGGTTACTTCCAGTTTTTGTAATAATTATTTCGTTTTATTGAAAAACAGATAAACAGACAGACAGACATACAGAGACACAAATACATTGGTATGAATTAATTACGCGCAAATTGCGGATTTACAAACAGTTGGTATTTCATTTTTTTTATCAATAATAATAAAAATACATAATAATAAAAAAATAATATTTAAAAAATTAACCTCTACTCTACAGAATGTTGGGAGGGGTTGATATTAAAAGGTGGGATGTTATTGTAGGGAATATATGTATTTTTTTTTGGTAGGATAAGAAGTGCTGCTGGCGATTTTATGCATGCACATCGTATGCCATCACAGACACACATCACACTTATTTGCACATAAGGACAAGTAAAGGATAATTACGATTGGGTCAGGATCAATGGATGTTCGGTTGGTTGGTTGGTTGATTGCCTGGGAATTCAAGGATAGCAAAGACGTTTAAATAATTTCCCTCCGTTGTGATGTATGGACATTGGTCATCATCAGGTTGATGAGTTAGGTAGTTGACTACAGACACAGAGAGGTAGAGTGCGGCAACGGCTGTTGGAGTTATAGTTGGTGGAGACGGTTATTTGCTGTTTTTAAATTTACGTCCGACAATGTACATAAATATATGCGGCTATTTGTTTGTACAACTGCAGCGTTTTTTCCCATGCAGCATGGATTGTATTAACCCATCCATCCATCCTTCAATTTTTGTGAGTGAGTGTGTGTGTGTGTGTGAGTGTTTGCATACTTCGCTGTGTGTATGGGTGTATTTACATGCCACCATTTTGAATATCAGCTTCGTATGCCTCATTTTCTTCTTGCTCTTCATCGAACTCAACATCCTCATCAGCGGTTGCCTCCTGAAACAAAACAAAAAAAAAAGAAAAAAGGAAAACAATGAAAACAAACAAATAAACATAACCAATCGACGAAACGTTACGTTGTGCAAAGATTGTGTTGCGAATTGTTGGCAGGGGGAAGGGGTGGAGGAAAAATCATTGAAAAATTGTTTTTAATTAAAAAATATCAAACATCAAACAGCTTCCGATTCCTGGTAAAGTCGTCCAGATGCAATGGCAGTAGATGGTTTATTCGAGTACGTGTGGGTGTGGGTGTGTGTGAATGCGTTATAACCGTAAACCATATGCCACATACATGCACATACATTCATATTTGTATTTTGTTGGGGCTATACCGAATGGACGCACATCATCCACACATACATTTCATGACCATATCATACAATATGAGGACGTTTATGTTTACTCCAAATCAAATGTCCGTTCCAGTAGCCAAACGTTAGAATACAGTCGATGGAATAAATATAGGAGCAGATATTTTGACTGGTATTATTTAAATGAATATATCTTCTAAGAGTTTTCAAAATTTTATAAGTGCTTAGGAATGCTCATAGCAAGTGTTTTATAGGAAACCCTTCTACAGGTTTATTATGGAAAGTAGACCTTAAACGGATCTTCTGTAGATTAAATAACAAAAATAGCTCTAGAAGCTGTAATAGTGTTTTTTTTTAATCTTTTTGGAGAACACGGTGGAATTCGAGCGTGATAGTATAATTTATTCATATTTGGATGGAAAACCACAAGTGGCTATCATAAGATCACTCCAGCATTAAAATATGAATAAATCTTTTGTGTCTCGTACCATCGCTCGTTACCATGATACTGGTAGCGTAGTCCGACGTCAAGGAAGTGGACGAAAGAAAGCAGTAACATCAGCAGAAATGGTTCGAAAGGTAAAGAAGCGACTTGATCGACCCGCATTGCAGTGGCCGAAAAATGGCTGGTGAGCCGAACATATCGCAATATTCCATTCGGCAAATATCGAAAAATTAGCTCGGGGTAAAAAGTGCAAGAACTTCCACCGCAATAGAAAGAAAATAGACTCAAAAGAGCTAAAGAATTGCTTCGCTTGGCCGAAAGTGGTGAACTGCCGAATGTGATTTTCTCCGACGAGAAAACATACGTTGTCTACACTAAATTCGGTCAAAAGTGCCAATATTCACACCATGTGGACTCATATTAACCATTTGGTGCACAAGAAACCTAAAATCGGATGAAGATACATATGGGAGCTATATCCAAATCTGAACCGAACTTGATGAAATTTGATCTATGAATTGCTAGGGTGTGTATTATATCTGGTGCTAAATATCAGTCTTGTGGAATGCATATAACGTATGCGAGGGACTTAAACCCAAAAATCGGATGTAACATATATATGGAAGCTATAGCTATATCTGAATCGATCTTCACCAAATTTGAAGCACATGCTTGTAGGCTGAATTCGGTCAGATGTAGCAAAATTCACACCATCTGGAATGATATTAGCTTTTTGGTGCACAAGAAACCTAAAATCTGATGAATATGCATTAATCGACTTAATATTTGATCCTATGCTGATCATCAAAAGGATCTATGGGTCTATCTCGTTTCCTTCTCCATGTTACCAACAAATGCACAAAATACCCTTACCACTATGTGGTGTAGGGTATAAAAACTACACAATAATTTAATTGAGGATACGATTATTACGGGGAAGTGTGTTGCTACCTCGAATTGCCTAATAGCAACAGAAATGCCACTCAACTTCTAAAGATTGCAGTCCCCTGCACGCTTGGTATTTGCTATGAAATTAATAAATCCGAAAGACAAACCCTTCGTGTATGCGGACTAGATTGGCATGTTCCTGTTTTTCTCATGGTCAGCTGTTTTCGGCACGTTGGTAGACCAGGCTATTTGTTTATTTACGCATTAAACAATTATAATAATTTCTTTTTAATTTTTTTTTCTATTTTTTTAAACCAACAAATATTCGGTTTTAATTGTCTCTGAAAAAGATTCTTAAAATCCAAAATTATGGTTTAGATAGGCTTGATATAAGATCTTTTATAGGCTTTCTGAGATAGAAGACTTTTTAGGGGACTTTTATGTATAGAACTGTTCTTCAACTGAACTGGACATCCTTAAAGCTATTTTCCAGGTCCCCTATTGATAGCAATCGCATTAGAGATCACTATAAAAATGAATATCATTTCACTGAACATATTCTAACTTCAGTCACTGTACGGTCAGTTTTCCCCACAACACGAAATTCGCACGAATATTCCATCCATTACCCATTGTAGTGTCGCACACACAACCGCATGTACACACACGCCCACATACCGGATAACCCGAAACCGAAACGAACAAGAAAGAAAAACATACCTGGTATTGTTGATACTCCGAAATCAAATCATTCATATTAGATTCAGCTTCGGTGAATTCCATCTCGTCCATACCCTCACCGGTGAACCAATGCAAGAAGGCCTTACGACGGAACATAGCTGTGAATTGTTCCGATATCCTCTTGAAGATCTCTTGGATGGCAGTGGTATTGCCAATGAATGTTCCCGACATTTTTAAGCCACGTGGTGGTATATCACATACGGCGACCTTAACGTTGTTTGGAATCCATTCGACGAAATAGCTGCTATTCTTGCTTTGTACATTCAACATTTGTGTATCGACTTCCTTCATCGACATGGGACCTGCAAGGAGAAAAAAAAAAACACAACCTTTTGGGATAAAAAACAAACATTACAACGAACGTATGAATTTTGGGTATCAATTTCTAATTATTAAGGGGGAGACAGAGATTTGTTGTATATAGGGACAAGGACATATTGGTTGATTTGTGTGCATGTAGTGGTGGTTTTTGCCCCACGAGGGCAACACAAATATTTCAGTAATTTCATTTTGGCATTCAAAATTATCGTTACTATGAATTATGCTTTAGGGGGCGATGTGTTAAGTGTACAGCATTCCCAAACTGATGAGTATGAATACAGTAGAGAGCTTATTAATTGTTTAAGAGCTTGAACAAGGAGATATCCTGTTGCGGGAAGGGAACAAAAAGGAGTGAAGTTTTAGGGAATCATAATTTTCATTGGGAGCTATACAGCATAGTGTTTAGGGAAATTCCCGGAATAAGGACCACCCTAGAAATGGAATATAGAATATATACCAATTTGAGATGTTTTTTTTTTTTTTTTTTTGCAAAATATGTTTATACCCTCCAGCCTAAGATTAACTTTGTCATTCAACACCTTGAGATAAGCGTTGGAGACTCCATAGACATAAAATTCTAAGTAGCTTTAACGACGTACATCCGCCTAGATGTCGCAATTTTCGTGTTATTTGGAATAGATGTTTGTAGTGTTCTTTAGATATTAATGATTGATGATTGCTGTAGAGTAAATGATAGAGCTTCGTGAAATCATATAAAGATATTCCATACCAAATTGGAAACTTATTAAATTAACAGTCAAAAACGTAAGAAAACCAGTAAAGAAAGGTAAAAAGTCGGTTGGGACCGACTATATGATATCCTACACCACTATACGTATTTAGTAGAGCTCCCGTAACAAAATAGTTTATATTGGGAATTTATGTGGAATAGATGATATCAACTATGAACCTTATTTGAATGCGTATCATGGCTTTGAGTAGTCACAATTTGGGAACTATATCCAACTCTGAATCGATCTTCAACAAATTTGACGTATAAAATGAAATTTGTACAAAATAAAAACGCTGCATAATGCATGATATGGCTTCGATAAGAGTTATATGAAAAATATTTGTTGGAGCAATAGATATATCGGACCGAGTTTCACCAAATGGAAAAATTCGGTTGAATATGAAAAAATCTATCAAATTTGGGTTGATATTACATATAAGGTGGACAGTAACCGTATATGATGTATATCGAATGCGTATAAAAATCTGAACCCATCTCAATAAAATTTGACAGAGGTGTTTTCAATCTGATATCTGGTATCAAATATTATTCTTGTGGAGTGCACATTACGCATGTTAGGGACTTAAACACCAATTCGGATGCAACATATATGTGGGAGCTATAGCTATATCTGAACAGATTTGACCAAAATTTGAAGTACTTGCTTCTGGCCTGAATTCCATCGGAAGCGCCAAAATTCAATCTATTTGGACTGATAATAGCCATTTGGTGCACAATAATCGTGAAATCGGATAAAAATATATATGGGAGCTATATCCAAATCTGAACCGTTCTTGACAACATTTTAAGCACTTACTTCTAAGCTGTATCTGATATCCCATACCAAAGATCATTGTTGTGGAGTGCATATTACGCATGTGAGGGACTTAAAGCCACAAATCGGATGAAACATATATATATGGTGGTTATATCCAAATCTGAACCGATCTTGATAAAACTTCAGACACTTATTTCTGAGCTATAATTTTTACTTTTTTTTTAAATGTTATTGAATGAAAGCAAAAATTGTCGGAAACAGCATTAAATTGTACAATAAATTTAGATTTGTTCGAATTGGTCACCTTTGGCACGAATTATGGCCTTCAAACGGCCAATGAAAATGTCACACGCTGCCTGAATGTTGCTCTGCGGTATTTTGGCCCATTTCCGGCGAAGCGCTTGCTTGAGGTGATCGACACTTTGGTATTTTTTAGTACCAATCTTGCTTTCCAAAATACTCTAGACACAATAGTCCATCTGATTGGTATCCGGAGATTTTGGTGGCCATTGTGCGCTGGAATTGAAGCGAGGAACCTCATTTTGTAACCATTCTTGGTTGGCGCGTGCTGAGTTCGATGATGCTGAGTCCTGTTGGAATGTCCAAGGTCTGCGGCCAAAATGTTTGCGTGCCCAAGGCTTCAATACACCCTCTACAATATTTTCGCGATAATATTCGCCATTTATACTGATGCCACGGTCGATAAATACGAGCGGAGAGCGACCATCGGCTGTTATGGCGGTCAATACCATCACCGAAGGTGCACATTTTCAGCTGACCTCTTTGGCAAGTGAAGAAGATCATTTTGTTTGTTTACAAACTGCTGGACAACGAATGTTTTCTCATCGGAGAAAACCAAATTCGGCAGCTCACCACTTTCGGCCAAGCGAAACAACTCTTTAGCTCTATTGAGACTATTTTCCTTCTCTTGCGGTGTAAGTTATTGCAATGGTTATTTATCTCATTTTCTCAGTTTTCAATATTTGCCGAATGGAATATTGCGATATGTTCAGCTCACGAGCCATTTTTCGGCCACAGCGACGCGGGTTTCGATTAAGTCGCTTCTTTACTTTTCGAACCATTTCTGCTGATGTTGCTGTTTTCTTCCGTCCACTTCCTTGACTTCGGGCTACGATACCAGTATCACGGTAACGAGCGATGGTACGTGACACAAAAGATTTATACACATTTAAATGCTGGAGTGCTCTAACGATAGCTACTTGTGGGTTTCGAGCCAAATACAAATAAATCACACCATCACGCCTGAATAACATCACGAATAACTTTTTTTCTGGAAAATTCTCACCAAAATGCTTCTGTACGCTTGTTAAAAATATAATAATCTGACACTGGAATAATTTTAACAGCTGTCTGATGAGTGGCTTAGAAATGACTGCAGTCTGAAGTTGGTTGCAGTTTTTTCATCTCACCCAGTAGTACTCATGTGAAAACCCGTTCCATATTTCAATCCTCACACCAACAGTTATAGTAATATAAAATTTCATGGTTTCAGGTCTACCCCTTCGCCAAATACCAACCAAGTCGAATCTCAATCTCAGATACCAACAGTTATCAATTTTTTTTCTCTATCCATTCACTCAATACGGAATAATATAGTACTATTCAATACGTTTCTTAGAAGTATAATTTCCGAAACCACCTCCATTTTTTCTATCCCTCACCCAATATCCCCCATTCAGGACTTTTCGTACAATTACAGGTACATATTTTCAAAATCACCTCCATATACCCAGGCTACACACAAACATAGACCGTAATGCTAAACTCAAACGGACATATTATTTATGGTATGGTAGAAATCTTTGGTGGAAATGAGTCTTTTGCACCTTTTTAGGTGCCCCTCTAATTAGGTTACTATGCGATATAAACGTTTCTTGCCTTTTCAGCTCTACCTTAACAATCTACTGAGTTTTTCCAGTAATTATTTTTTTCTCTTGCCTGAGAGATGCGTTCATCCTATTAAAAAGGGGTTCAGATATACAGAATGTTATTTTTTTTTAAATTATTGCGGACTGTGACTGCAGCTCACTTTCTTTTTTGTAGTTACAACAACTAATTTTGTGGGGTTTCATTAATTCGACAATTTCAAATATTGCTAGCAAAACAATTTCTCAATACCAACCACCACAAATAATATAAATTAGACGTTTAGCACATTTATCGTCCTCGAACTCCTGAAGTTCTTTTTTTTCAGGCTAACTTCAATAAGTAGCCGACACCGTAGCAACATCTCTCAAAGAGATTTGTCAAAACAATCTACCCAAAAGACCATTTTATTTGATGGATTAATGGCTTGTGAAATGTAAAATAAGCTGAAGGGAAGAATAACGACGTTTTTTTGGAAATGTGTTTACAAAATTAAACTGAGTACCAAATAACAAAAACAGCAAAAAAAAAAAAAAAACTAATTATAATTTGACTTTAAGACCTTTGAGACCAATAATACAGCGAGATGCGGAGATAATGTTTGCATGCCACTTGAATATTAAGACAAATGGGGCATAACTACAATGGGAGGAGCTCTGCGTATATATTGCACCTCATATCCGACAACACCAGGTTGTATACTCTGGATGGTGTAACCATTGTCATGCCACGAGCCACGGTCGATGTATACAAACAAAATCATACACACGCACACACACCACTAACTATGAAGCTTTGCATGGCAAAATAATTAATCAAAAAATTTATGCGTAAAATTAGTGGTCTTTCGGGAATATGAAGGCTGAAGTGTTGCACGGTATAAGGTGGCCAAAGCAGTGCAGATAGAAGACACTGATATTAGAAAAACAATAGATGGACTTCGTATTTGGGAAAAGAGCAGCAGTAACAAGTGGATGTTATAACCCAAAAAATCGTTTGAGATTCCATTTTTATGAAATTGTGAAATACTAGCAAGTGCCCTTTACTTCGTCAGCGAAAAGTCCACCTTAACATTTAAGATTCGTTCCAATAGTTGGAGTTATGGCTTTTAGTACTCAATATTCACAGTTTGTTCAATTTGACAAATTTGTTTATTCAAAACGTCATGCATCGTACCAAATTTTTTTAGACTTTCAATGTTTTATATATTATTCAAGTTTGTTTTTTTTTTTTCAGAAAGAATAACAGGATAGCTTTTACACCAAAAAATCTTTAAAATCATTCATTTCAAAGTTTACCGAGGGGGGATATTAGAAAAACCATTGAACAATGAACCCACTTCCAATATTCTGTTCCAAACTATTCCCAAGCCTCCACTATTCCCGACCATATAAACTAACAATATAAAGATCAAATTTCGGGATTCCAGATCCATCGCTTCACCTAACACCAAATTTAGAAACATTTAGTACGCATATCCGAAGCAATCTACATCATCATCTCTCCATTCGAGACCCCAACAATCATAGAATATTAGTACAATTTGGAGCTTTTGTACACTTATTCCAAATTTTAAGAAACCA